GGAAAGCCGACTGTGGCGAGGCGGACTTGTAGTGCCGGGCCAGGTCTGGGCTGCTGGGTTTGAAGGTCGTAGTTGGGGTCGCATTCCAATCAAAGCGTCCAATTCCCTGCTCCTCCAGCTCTGTCGGCAGGCTGATGGTTCCGTTGATAGGCTCGTGGGCAGGGTCGTCCGGTTTGTTCCCCTCAATAGTGACAAAGTTGAGCAAGGAGCTTTTGGGGGATTTCCTTTTCTTGCGCTTCTTCTTTTTGTTCTGCTTGTTCTCTGTGTTGGGTGACATCCATTCGGCTCCCTGCTTTTTCCTCTGCGCCGCTTTGAACCTAGAAGCGTGGCGGCAGCGTAGCAGCACAGTGACAAAGATAACAATAATCACCACCAAGGCGCCTGTAACAAAGGCTATCATTATGGTTAAATAATCACCACTTTGATAAGTTTCACTGCTTTCACCAATGTTACGGTCGATTGGGGTCTCCATGGTGCGTCGGATGAGGTCGTAGATGAGTGTTGAGTTGCCCACAGTGTCATTAACATACAGAAATACAAGCACCAGAGTATGAAGAGATTTAGGATATCCCAGGTCGCTGATATTGACAACCAATCTGTGTAAGCCTATGTCAGTCACCGCAGGTTTTTCCTCCAGAGTTATATTCCCCGTGACAGGGTCAATCCGAAAGAGACCTTTATTGTTTCCACTCACTATGGTGTATTTCAGTTCTGCATTCATCCCCGTATCACCGTCCACTGCAAACACTTCTGCCACCACAGATCCAGGGATAGAAGAGAGAGGGACCAGCTTGAATGACGTGTTGGATGGGGGGTAGATGACGATGGGGGTGTTGTCGTTGACATCAATGACATTGATGGTCACCTTAGCAGCTGAGGAGCAAGGGGGCCTGCCACTGTCCACAGCCCTGACATCAAAAGTGTAGGAGCTCTGTTGCTCCCTATCAAATGACACATTAGATTTTATCACCCCAGAATAAGGATCCAGGATAAAATTCTCATTGTCATTCAGTATGGAGAGAGAAACAGCGGCATTTTCTCCAGCATCCGAATCTGTCACAGTTATCACTCCCACTGTGCTGTATTTAGGAAGATTCTCAGACACAAAGAACTGAAAGTGGTTATGAGTGAACTTGGGGTTGTTATCATTTTCATCCAGAACAGTTACAATAACCGCCGCCTGGGTCTGCAGAGGGGGCGTCCCATTATCTCTCGCTGTGACAGTGAACAGAAACCTATCCTGATCCTCCCGGTCGAAAACCCTCGAAGCAGTCAGAACCCCAGTTTTACGGTCAAGATCGAAGAATGACGCATTAGGTCCCAGCTGATAAACTATCTCTGCGTTTTTCCCACTGTCCTCATCTGTGGCGCTGAGAGTTGTGAGGAACAGGTCACGCTTGTTGTTCTCCATGACAGCCAGCTCAATAACTGGCTGAGTAAAAATAGGAGGGTTGTCATTCTCGTCCTCCAATCTCACTCTCACCAAAGCAGTCTGGTTCAAGCTCGGTTTTCCAGAGTCCGAAGCCACAATTTTAAAGTTATATTCCTTGGTCCCTTCGTAGTCGAGCAGCGCAGATGTCTCTAACAAATACTGGTTGTCATACACGGCTTTGAGATGGAAGGGCACATCCTTCTCGATGAAACAGATGACCTTGCCGTTGATGTCTGTGTCTTTGTCCGACACTGTGATGAGAGCTATCTTGGTATTGATGGGATCCTTCTCCGAGAGAAAAACAGTACCATTGATGGGACTTATTATGTATCTCAGGTCAATATTGGGTGGATTGTCATTAACATCCGTCACATTTATAGTAACAGTAGCCCTGGCAGGACTGGAGCTGCCATCACTGGCAAGAACTGAGAGCTTATGAATAGCAGTCTCCTCTCTGTCCAGAGGCCTCTGCACTGTAATTAGGCCAGATGTCGTGTTTAATGCAAAGAGTCTCTTTGTGGCAGGAGACACCTGAGTCCCAAAAACATAACGAATCTCTGCGTTAGCCCCTATGTCTGCATCTGTGGCCTGGAGCTGCACCACAGATGTGCCAATAGGGGAGTTCTCTGGTATATGCACCTCTATCTGTCCATCTTTAAACACTGGCTTGTTATCATTAACATCAGTTACTGTTACTTGGAGAATGGCAGTGCTGGATTTCTGCGGGCTGCCACCATCCTCCACTTTGATCTTCATCACATACGTATCCTTCTGCTCTCTGTCCAGATTCTGCTGCACAATGAGCTGGGGCCACTTCTCCCCCTCAGGCGTTTCCACTATGTCTAAGCCGAAGGCGCTCTGCCCGTTGATCAGCTCGTACTTGTGGACGCTGTTGGGGCCAGTGTCTGGGTCAGTGGCAGAGGGAATGGCAAAGCGGCTGTTAATGAGCGTGTTCTCGGGGATGGAGATGTTGATCACAGGGGACGGGAACATGGGGGCATTATCGTTTGTGTCTTTCACAATTATTTTGATCTTAATCAGCCTGAAATAATCATTAGGCAGGATGACCACTTCAATTTCAAAGGAGCACTCGCTGTCCTCAAAGGAGGGACCGGGGCACAACTTCTCCCTGTCGATTCGGTTTGATGTTGTGAATATCTCGCCTGTGCTGCTCAGAACGCGCACCAGCGGGTTATCTCCTGCTTTGGAGACGAGCCGGTACACCAGATTAGCACTTGCCCCAGTGGCAGCATTTGTGTGAGAAATGTTTAGGTCCTTTGGTATGTTTCCAATGAGGACATTTTCTTGCAGTTCCTCTCTGATGGGGTAGATTAGCTCTTGGGCTATTGAAGGATCTAGCCATATGCAGGCGAGCAGGGCACCCAACAGGTAATAGTCTTTTAGATCCATGACTGTGTAAATATGTTCCCAGCCTTTGCAACTCAAGGATTCAGTCTATGCAACACTTTCACAGGCAGTGACTCCTTGCATGTGACGGCTGGAATCTTCCACGGACAAACCTATGAATACATGAGCATGTGAGTTTTCAGTGTAATAACTTTGCCATGCAGTAATTAAATCTTCTTAACACACACAACCCTCCTACACAGTCAGCTGTTTTATCCACTTATTTTTTAATTCCTCACTATTAGTTTGCCCAAAGGCCATCATCAACAATTCATAGGAGAGGAAAATTCAACAAAAACACTGCAGCAACCATTAAGAGGCAGCCAGTCATGTCTATTGCTCACTTTCTAAATCCTCCACATTTTAAAAATCACTGAGAAATTACAGCCCCAAACCCCCCTGGACACCAAACTTCACAACACATTACACTGTCTTATTAATTTTACACTTAGATGGGCAAAATTAAAGAGCTGTGTGTGGGCTGCAAACTGATGAAAAACGCATGCACAAAAAAAAGCTCAGTCAGATATTCAATTCTTATTTGTCATATGAGAGCTATTCGTACGGTACATACCCGAATCTGTTACAGAGCAAGAGGAAAACTGGAGTGTGTCAGCTCATAGTCTTCTCATCCAGTGTGCCTGCGAGCCTCTTCGGGTAAAAAGATATCCTTCTCAGTTGGATGTAGCTTTGTGTCCAGGAAAAAGGAGGAAAAATAGTCGCCCGCAGGAGTAATCAGACTCTAGAACAGGTTTTGGGCTAAAGCAGCCGGTCGCACAAACTGGGGTAAATTAGAGCCTGCATATGTCGCAGTTCCGTTTCCCCCATTTAACTTCAGGAATGGACAGGATCTAATAATAATAGTGCGACCTGCGGTGATTGCGGTGATCAGCGTCGCTCTCCAGCAGATACAACCAGGTGGTCAGTGGTTTGCGGCGTCTTCCATTAGAGCGCGTCCCAAAATCAATGCTCATCTCCCGCACACGTCCCGAGAAAAACCGGCGTTTTTTCTTTTCCCCTCTCTCTCTCTCTCTCTCTCCTCTCCCTCCGCGGTTACCTGTTAAGGTGAAGGCGCAGAGGAGGTGAACAGGAGAGGAGACACTTATGTCCCGTCATGTTTCAAGTTCATGGAGCAGCATCAATAATCAGCCAGCGTAGTCACAAGGTTAAATAAAAAAGAAAGATGGAAAAGGGCAAGAAAAAGAGAAATATCAAAGTCGATCCCAGTTGGAAAGCTGAATATGAAGGCTGTTCAGTGTGACACCGATGCGCAGCGTGTATGTTCCGTTTATCCTTGCACTCTCACTCCCAGGGCAGAATATCTTGCACTAACTCTGTGTAAACCCATAGGAGGGGTGGTGAAGTACACCACACCGACGCCCCCCCACCCCCTCCAAGTCGCCGGCCCTCGTCATTGGACACCTCCCCGCTCCTTCACTGGCGTCGACAAGCCAAGCAGCAACAGGATTGGCCCGGAGTCACGTCACTTAATGCCAAACCGGAGGGGCCGTCCGCGGTGAGATGCTCCGTGAAGATGCTGCAGGCTGCAGAGAGACGCTTAACCAAAAACCCTGAGGCTGGGGGAGGAGGGGGTGATGATGACGAGGATGATGATGATGAAGCTGCCCGTGCCGCTGATGATAATATAGGGGCGAGAAAGAGTCTGTGTCCCTCTTTTTTAGTGGATTATATAAAGGAACATAGCAGTCATTGGCTCTGAAGGGACGCATCAAAACGCACGAGCCAACCTGTTAAGCTGTTGTCAGGTAGGCTGCGTTAATTGGGGTGGACATGAAAAGCCACGAGGCTGAGGCACATCAGAAAAAAAGAAAAAAAAAAAGATGCAGTGAAACGGTTTCCGATGCACGCCAAGAATAAACGCAGGCTTACAATACAAGCCTTGTGTGAGAGTCTCAAATAATTGCACCCCAGACAGAGAAGCCGTTGTCTAAGCATGTTTGCACGCGCTCTGTCCCCCCTACTTCTCGCACCCTGCAGCCACTCATCAGTATTTGTCCATAAAGAAATAACCTTGACAGTTATCCGTGCCATCAAAGCCGCGCAGCAGAGGCATCGTGCTGCGTGAGCTCTGTGCTGTAAAATAGGTGAATTGCATCTCTTTTTAAGTTTACTGCCTCGTGCCGGAGCTGTGATGATCAGAGGAAGCTGTGATTTGACTTTGGAATTGCCCATAAACGCAGATGATCTTACTCGACAAGTTTCACAGCAACAAGAGGAGGCTGAACTGTGCGACTGAGCCCACGACTGACACCTGAGAAGTGATGCAAGGTATAACAAGAAAACAGCAGGTTTCATAAAAACGGGAAATGAGACTCAGCCGTACAGACCCCGGCATCATTTAATACCTACTGCCTTCAAATCATTACTTAATTTCAATGCAGTAGATAACCCTCGATTTCATCCACAGCTCTCTGCCGGTGCAGAGGCAAGCTGTTGAGCTTTGAGGCTGAGCAGCCTACCATGGTGAACACTGCCATCTTGAGGTGCTCTTAAACAAATGCCCGGTCAATGTTTTGAGCTTTAAAGCCTGAAAATACATCCGTCTTCTGGACCGAGAGTTTGATTTTCTTTTCTTAATGTAGCAGTAACAGGAAGAATCAGACAGAATGGGTGAATAAGACAAAGTTGACCTGTGACTCAAGAGAAGTAAAAGGGGCAAGGAGGACCAGAGTTGGGAGTTATGTAGAGGACGTGGCACCCACACTGTTGAGGTGAGAATTAGGACTCAAATGTCTTCTGAGAGGCTGGCTTATTGCCTGGTCAGCACTCCATTAGCACAACCAACCCGGTGGCCTGACCTTTCTGGGCCTCTGTTTCAAGCCGTCAGTGTCCTTTGCTGGAAGAGAACAGCGAAAGGGAGTGATCTGTCACTTCACTTTAAAGTCTGACACCCTGATGTGGAGGGGAAAAGTGACAACATAACTGTCTGCAGCGCTAAAACACTTTTTTTGCTCTGCTGGCCTGCTGGAGTCATTAGGAACTCATGGGCCGCTTTTGCTCGCTCAATGGGAGTGTGTGTGTATGTGTGTGCACATGTTTGTGTGTATCCCGGGTTTTCCCGCAATAGGAGAATTACAGTCAGGTCCATAAATATTGGGACATCGACACAATTCTCATCTCTCTGGCTGTGTACACCACCACAATGGATTTGAACTGAAACAAACAAGATGTGCTTTGACTGCAGACGTTCAGCTTTAACTAAAGGGTATTTACATCCAAATCAGGTGAACGGTGTAGGAATTACAACAGTTTTTAAATACGCCTCCCACTTTTTAAGGGACCAAAAGTAATAGAACGACCAACTCAAACGCTATTTCATGGATAGGTGTGGGCTATTCTCTCATTGTTCCATCATCAATTCAGCAGGTAAAAGGTCTGGAGTTGATTCAAGGTGTGACATTTGCATTTGAAATCTGTTGCTGTCAACTCTCAATATGAGATCAAAAGAGCTGTCGCTATCTGTGAAGCACGCCATCATTAGGCTTAAAAATCAAAACAAACCCATCAGAGAGATAGCAAAAATATTACCCACTGAGCAATAAATGGATATTAGACGTCTAGTTTTTTAGACCTCATTTCAACCATTTAGATTCTGAATATTTTTGGGCGGAATTTAGATGTTGCACTTTAACCCATTATTTGATAACTATTTACTGTATTTTTCGCACTATAAGGCACACCTGATTATATGTATATGTTTATTATATATGGCGCACCATCAATGAACGCTTCTAGTCTATTTTCATACATAAGGAACACCGGATTATAAAGCGCATCAAGCCAAACAAAACAGTCAGATAAGTCAAACTTTATTTAACTCATTCAATAACTCCACGGGCTACGGTAGCTGCAGTGCTCCGACAATCCAAAAGGATTTTAAGTGCGCCTTATAGTGCGAAAAAAATACGGTATTTCAAAAAGCAAATGTGAGTTGCATAACTGATCTCCAAGTACTTAGCTAAAATAATTATGATAGCCGTTGAGCAATATACAGAGTAATACAGATATAGCCCACATTTAAATTTAGTCTAAACTTGGTCTAAATTTAGACGTCTGAAAAACGTTTACTTTTAGACCTGTGGTAGCTCGATTTTAGACCAGTCGTCTAGACTACATTTAGACGTCTATTTGACTTCTTTCAGACTGAAATTGCTCAATGGGTTAGTGTGGCCAAATCAAACATTCTCAAAAAGAAAGAACGCAAAGTTGAGCTCAGCAACACCAAAAGACCTGGAAGACCACGGAATACAACTATGGTGGATGACAGAATTATTACTCCGGTGAAGAAAAACACCTTGAGTTGGCCAGATTAGGAACAGTCTCCAGGGGTTTGGTCTATGTGTGTCAAAATCAATAACCAAGAGAAGACCTCACCAGACTGAATATAGAGGGTTCACCACAACATGTAAACCACTGGTGAGTCTCCAAATCAGGAAAACCAGATTAGAGTTTGTCAAACATCTAAAAAAGCCTTTAAAGTTCTGGAATAACATCCAATGGACAGACGAGACAAAACTCAATTTGTACCAGAGTAATAGGAGGAGATGAGTCTGGAGAAGGACACTAACTGTTCATGATCCAAAACATACCACCTTATCATTATAACATCCTAGTGGTAGTGTCATGGCATGGTCATGTACGGCTGCCATTGGAACTGGTTCCCTTGTATTTATTGATAATGTAACTGCTGACAAAAGCACCAGGATGAGCTCTGAAGTGTTTCGGGCAATATTATCAGCTCATATTCAGCCATACGCTTCAAAACATATTGGACTTCGCTTCACTGTGCAGATGGACAATAACCCCAAGCATACTGCAAAAGCAACCAAAGAGTTTTTTTAAGGGAAATAAGTGGAAAGTTATGTAACGGCCAAGTCAATCACCTGACCTGAATCCGTTTGAGCATACATTTCTCTTGCTGAAGACAAAACTTAAGAGAAAATGCACAGAGAACAAGCGGGAACTGAAGACAGTTGCAGTAGAGGCCCATGTATTGAAAAGTGACAGTTTGATTAATGTTTTTTAGTTTGTCCCATTACTTTTGGTCCCTTAAAAAGTGAGAGGCACATATAAAACTGTTGGAATTACTACACTGTTGACCTGATTTGGATGTACCCTAAAATGAAAGCTGAATGTCTGCAGTCAAAGCACATCTTGTTTGTTTCAGTTCAAACCCATCGTGGTGGTGGATACAGCCAAGAAGATGGGTATTGTGCCGATGTCCCAATGTTTATGGACCTGACTGTTTTCTCTTTGAAATATTTCCAACACTGCCAGTTCTCTGGCTCAGGGACATTGCAAAGTGATTGGACGTACTGGACAGGAAATACTCTGAAAAGCTGAGAAAATGCCAACATCCTGTGAAGTGATTCAGACCCCAGCACTGATCGATCACTCTGTGAGACCTCAACAGATCTGATATGGTCATAGTGAGAAAAAGAATTAGAGTATGTCAAAAATTAAGCTCATCCAAGTGAAAATAGAGGAGCTGTTTTAGAACTGTTACCAACAAACTTATTGGCCTATAATATAGATACAAATATTGGTACCAATAATGTCGATAGCCTCCAATACAAATACAAAAATCCAAGCCAATATGTTCTCCTATGATACAGATACAAAAATCAATATCAGTATTGTTGGCCTACAAGTATTGGTACCAATATCGTTGTTAGGCTTCAATACAGAGAGAAATTGCTTTTGGCCAATGGTACAGATACAAATACTGGAACCAATATTTCTGTTTGTCCCTTTGTAATAGAGACTATTAGCCTCAGAGATATACAATTGCATCAGTATCACAGTTGCCTTCTGTTTCAGTATCGGTCAAATATTATTCTATGCCTCTGGTACAGTTACAAATACAACACTGGGTAGGGTGACCAAACATCCACTTTCCCCAGAACATATCCTGCTTTTACGTCCTGTCCTGGGCATCCTGGTTGTTGTTTTTTTTTAAAAAGTGTCCTAGTGTTCGTGGTTTTTCATTTGGCCACTATGATGAAGAAGAAAACTGTAGCTACACAATATTTCATTTCAGGCCAAGTCCTGGTTTTTGTCCTGGTTTTCGCTCATCAAAGTATGGTCCCCCTGATATTGGGACCACCTTTGCCAATGGCCTTTGCCTCCAATGAAAAAAAACATCTGTACTAGTATTTTTTAATGGTCTCTGACACGGATAAAAATATCTTTAATAAACTTGTCGTTGGCAACAAGTTTAGCACAAGTATTGGTAGTAATTCTGCAATTGGCTAATAATTCAGATATAAATATCAATACCAATGTTGCTAGAGACTTCCAATATTACATAAAACATTGCAAAGGGTATCAGGGGATGAACCAGTTGATGTAATGGTCTAATAACATAACCAATTAAACGAGTAAAAATATCAAATGGTTTCAAACAGCAGAACTGTATTTTCTCGGCACAAGGGAGTAATGTCAGATGCTCACAAAATGTTCAAAATAAGTGCCGTCCAGCAGTATCACTATTCACACACAAGCCATTAGGTTTTACACTTGGCAAAAGGAAAGAAAACGTTACATCAGAATTTTAAAAAATAGCAATCATTGCTATTGATTCTGCTGTGATTACATGGCACACGACCTCAACTTGGAATCCATGAAGACCTAAAATCAGCAAATGCAGCAGCTTCCCAGTTTGTAGTTTCAATTTTACCCAATCTCCCTGGTTTGTTACCCACTGATTTAGCCTGTGTGGAACTGGATGCAGCTAATGTTTCTGCCAGTCAACATCCTGACAAGCGATGAATAATGTAGCAAGCTAATATATGCCTTGGGTCTGGTGCTGTACCTCTTACAGTCTCACACTGAAGAGAGAGCCTAAGGGAAGGGTCCAAACCTAAGGCCTTCTGATTCCCTGTGCACCAGGTGCAGTCAATCACACTCTTCACCTTGGTTGGATTCTCACACTGACTTATTGACTTGTTCAGGCTGTTGAATTGGCTTCATGAATAATACAAAGAGCAAATATGTTTATCTTCTGTGTCCATTAAAGAACAAGGTCAAACTGGTAATTTATGTATTTTTTTTTAACTTGAACGAGGTCTGAGGGGCAAGTGCAGGACAACTTTCGTGTTGATACTCAGCCAAAAAGCAGCAAAAATGGCTGAAAGCTAAAGAGAGGATGCAGTTTTTTTCTGACTGTTACTATTTCCTTAATAAATCTTTTATAAACACCTTGCATTTTAATTTGAAAGTTTGAGGTCAGTTTTTGCCCATGCCTGGATCTGAAATAACATGTTACTTTTTGAGGTCACCAAAGAGAGAGTAGAGCTGTCACTGAAGCATGAGGTTGAATATCTGCATTACTGTCCAGTTTCTAATGAGTGCAGCATTATTTAGATTGTGGAAAAAAAACGTTTCAGGAGCCACATTTAAAAAGCCTCTGTGCTATGAAGCACCAGTTCTGCTATAACATAATTAGGATTATGGCCCTCACCAGTACAAGAATGAAAAACTCCTTTGTGTGAGAAACGTTCATAAAGCTGGGACCGTTTTAGAGCGAGAGAGCCATTTGAATTCCAGTGCCTCTCTTTTGGCTGTGCATGCATGTGCAAAATAATGCAAAGTAATTCAGACAGACGAACTCTAATTATCCAAATCCCTTGTAATATCTAAAAAAGAAAAAAAAAAAGCATCCCAGACAATCGCTGTAATGAGCACTTATTTTTACCTTTTACTTCCCACCACAGTCCCTGCAATCAAATGACTCAGAGAAAATATCAGTAGAAGTATGATCACATGTGCTGAATGCCGCTGCTTCTGATAGCCTATCTCCTGTCAGTGAAGCGTTGGCACATAATTCAGGAATGTTGAAATCTGTTGAGTTAACTAAAACACTCCCCCACACACAGCTTTACTTCTTTTTTAGTTAAATGTGTAAAAATCTCACAGAAATTCTCTTCCTTTCATTATGTACATGTTTCGACCAAGTCTAAATAAAAGCTAATGCTTTTCCGGGGCTTTTTTTTTTCACTGAGTTTCATGTGTTCCTTGTAAATACCACCAAGAGCCTCTGCAACAGCTGATGAAAATTTAGGCCTTCTCCCTTCAAACCCTTTTTGCCAGCGAGGTTTCTCTCAAGAGTGGTAATGACCCGGCGGATAATTGGCATCACACACGCTGTGGACCCTGAATACTAATCAGAGCTTCTAATCAGGCTCCTCAGAGTGAAAAGTTTAGATAAATGGGACTGGAATTTGGATAGGAAATGTTTTTCATTTACTTTGAAAGGAATTCAAGTGGAATCTAAACTTTGAATCCCCTTAAGGAAATGATGTTTAACCACTTAACGGTGTAGTAACAAGGTATTGTGATGTGTTCAGGGACAGAGCTTTGCAGCCGTGGGAGTTAAAGAGTAAATTCTTGCTTCAGGTAATGTTTTGATTAACCAGAAGATAAACAATACCTGCTCTTGAGCTCTCCTAATTATCAGAAAACCATTCCTGAGACATTTTTCATGCACCAAACACTTCCTTCACCGGCTGACGGTTGGCATTTGAGAGGTATAATGCCATGCATGAAAATCCTTCCTACAGTGATGGACACGCTGTTTGATCAAAGAAGATATCCTGGGTGGATTAAAGTTTTAGGATGCCGAAAGTGCAAGATATCCCCTATAAGAAATGCTTCTTCTGTCTTCATACCTTCCCTCTGACTGTAATTTGCTCTCTCGTTCTGTCTCTTCTCATTTTTTCCTTCCTCCTGACACATTTGAATCACATATCACTTTCCAGCCTGTGCTCGGAAAAAGGTCAACCCCCCCTTTTCTCTTTTCTTACTGATGTGAGAGTCTGAAGCCTGCCCGAACTGTACTGGCTGAAATGGATCCTGGTCAAAGACTCCTGAAAACCAGGAAAGGAAAGTTGAGCAAGGTTCTTTTCTACTTGGTGCACAGGCTGATTCGACCTTGCGCAGGCAATAGCCAGTTAGAAGATACTTGACATGCACTCCAACACCAATACTTTTTCAGATCCTGTCTAACCGAGATGGGTATTTTTGACAGAAAATAACATGTGCTCAAAGTTCATCTTTATAACAGTTCAAACGGAAACTTTGAAATTCATGTAAATCTTAGGTCCCTCTGATTACTTTAATTACTAATTCTTTTTCCAGTGTGTCTCTTTCTGTGTTCTGAATATGAAACTGATTGGCAATGATGATAGCAAGACTCCACACATCACAGCTTTGAAGAGTTTGTTTATTACTGCCCATAAGATTACTATTTTTAATAACTGACAAGCAATTAGACTGCATTTCCTCAGGCGTGTGATATCACACATCTTTATCACTCTGGATGACTGCTAAGAAAAAAAAAAAGGCTTCAGTCGAGTATGAGGTGTATAATGACAACATACAGGCTACCTGCAGACCTCTAAAGCAGAGACCATTTCTTATTCAAATAATGAATGGATGTCCCTTAAAGTAATGCACATTTTAACCATTTATTTCCAGTTGTATTGTGACTCTGACAGTAAAGACAGTTCATAAAGAAAGGGAAGAAGATCCCTACATATTCTATGCTAAGACTACAATGTGTCATCCGAAAGGTCACACTCCTACATGGCAGTTTTTGTCATGCATTAGCCAAGCAGCTTCACATTTAATAGGAGGATGTGGCTAATTAGTTATTTCACAGTTCCTGGAATAGTTTGCTGGCTCTGTGCTGCATTAAAATGTTGCAAAGATTCAGAAACAAAGGAGTTAAGTCGGCCATAATTTCCTGATCATGCTCTCTTGGAACGCAAATGGATCAAATGAGAATCGTCTGCACGGCACAAAATTAGCAAAATGTCAGAGAAACCTACAGAAGATATGTTCAAATGCTAATGAGATGATATCCACATAGAAAGGCTGTGATGCTCGTACAATACTGCAGTGACTAAACCACCAAAGCAGAATTAGGAAATGCATTATTCAATATTCAAGCCTGCTTCTCTCTATATATCGGAGTTGCAGCTTTTACTGCTGGTTACCAAAGAGGACTGTAATTAACACGTGTTTCAATGTCCACAACTACACTTGTCTCAGCTAGCTTATTCTGAGATTTTGCCATGCTGATACAAATGTGATTTTAAGTTGCAGAGCACTGGCCTGGTGTTGCCAGATCCATCCGCTGGTTCATATTCATTTCCACTGACATCTGTTGCCATGTCCTACGTCACATGTTGCATTCATCTAATTGGTTGTCTGTACAATCGCTCCCAGACGCAATTCGGTGCATGACCGTCGCTAATGCCCCTGGAAAAATGGAACAAGTCACACAATTCCAGACCAGTTTACCACGCTGATTTAGTCAGATGACACCAAGCTTGTAAAGCACACGAATTCAAGGGTAAATGTGCCAGCACTGTTGTGATCACTGGTTACACTGAATAAGAAAAATAATATTTTTTGCAGAAAAAATCTGTGTAAATGACCTGAAAACAAAAATGCTTGGACTCCAGGCTACAGTTAAGTTAGCCTAAAAATAGAGGAATGAACTGAATTTTTACCAAATGTATTTAATCACATCCATCAATGACACAGAGAGACAGAAAAAGAAACCTGCACTGTCAAAACACTTCGATTGACTGTAGGTGTGCAGTTATTGTTGCAGCTACACTTTTATGTAAAACACACCCACTTATCAGTTTTAATCATAGGTCTATAACAGAGAGTGACTCACCCTCTCTCTGAATGAGGTGCCATAAATTTGCACTGTAATTACACAAAACTAATTCTGATGATGCGTACGGTCGTGACACACCTGAGAGTAAAAAAGTGTCTCCCCGGTGAGTGATGCTTCCCGACAATATCCCTGACCCTGAGGCTCTGTTCGAAAAGCTGCTTTCGCTTCAAATGAAAGTTATTTACTTTTTCTAACATGCCAATAAACTCGGAGTTAGTCACAAAAGGATACTTCAGATTTTCTCTTAAAGATATGAAAACGTTGAACAAGCGCTAAACCATAATGATCTGTTTTCTTGACATTTCTATGGGCTGGTTATTACTCTCAACTTTGCAACTTGGATGGTGGAAAGATATGCCTCCAAGTTTAAAAAAAAACCTCAAACATGTCATCAAACAACATCCATAACCTTGTTCCAAGTCTGAATATACCGTATTCATATGCAGAGGCTGTTAAAAGAGAAAAACATATGACCAACTCTTTCTGCTTTACTGCCAGAGATCAGCAGTATCCATGGTAACTACATTTATTATTTCAACAAGGTAAATTTAAATCCTTCAATATTTCAATGTCTACTTCTGTGTTCTTGCATTAAATAGACAGAATGCATGTCCTAAAGCAAGGTAATTTAAGAGCAAATTATTGTAAAATAAGGCCAAGTATCACTTCACCTAGTTGGACAGTACAGTTTAATTTGCAGGAAATGGTTATTTTTCCCCCTGTCTTGCTATAAACTGACACATACCAGTAATTTAGAAAATGCCAGACTGACTCCACACATCATTTTACAGGAAACACAAGCTTTTAGCATTCAAATCACTGCCCAGAGTGATAAGGTATTATCGGATGACAACATACAATTTATGTTGAGCAAATGAGACGCAGAATAGAAAATGTCACTCTCCCTGTGGCTACACTTTCCCAAAGCACAGATTCAGTTGGGGAAAAATAGAGTCATGTGTTGTTGCCATTCATTTTCCATGGTGTGATGTCTGATGCAGAGACTGCCAATAATCATGTTTTCACGCTGAATACTGCAAACAACACCACGTGACTGACCACTTCAAGGACGCTTAAAAGCTAATTCCTGCTCTTTTTATATGTTCATAAGCTCAGTGTTGGTTCCTGGCCGTGAAACTTGTCTGTGGGATGATGTTTCTCATCTCCACGGTCCCATTCAGCAAGAAATAGAAGTCATTTGTGAGGACCAACCAATGCATGCTGATCATATGAGTGTGTTGTGGTTGTTGAATCTTTAAAAAAGCATCTCAAACCCCGCCACCAGTCTTTGAAGCGGATATACTTGATGTTTTTTTTGATCGATTTATACTGGCAGTAAAAACCTTAAAACGGTGTCTTTGAGGATAACCTTGCGTCTATATCTAATAATTATCGTCTTTCATGGACTGAACATTTCATTATCTCCTGGTATGTATTAACAGTTCTAAAAGCATGAATAGAAAATTACACCTTTCAAGACACCTGGCAACATGAAAGGTATTTTTGAGTTCTCGTGACCCCACTGGGTCTGAAAATTACTCCTTTAGTAGATAAGAAGAAGGGGCATGTCCAGGAGGTGGACTTTCCTCGCAATCTGGTGCCCTCCAGTCCCCCATGTGTCACTCCAAAACCTTTACATTCAATTTGCCTGATGAGACGCAGGACTTGTCTATTTTTCACAGCAACAGGTAGCTAGTAATAGCTAGCATCTAAAAATGTAAACAACCATCGCAGTGACACCATTAAAGCTCCAGTGAGGATTCTCCCAACATTTATGAAATTGACTAAAATACATTTTGATATTTTTTTATAGTATCCAGAGCCCAACAAGACCATCAGCAACAATATTAAGAAATTGTATAATGTATTTTTTAAAGCCTGAAATAGGTGTAAGGGAGGTAGGTGTCAGCCAAGAGAGACAGGGATGGAGAAACATCCCCGTTGTTACAATGTCTACAATAAATATTCACAATTTATGATGCATTTGACGGTCAAAAGTTGGCATTTGTTTTTGAAAAAAAAAAGACTACTTAAGCATGAAGAGGAGAAGTATTGACTGCTTCATCCACAAGGGGGTGCCAAATTCAACACAAACAAAAAGTTCCTCACAGGAGCTTTAGGTTAGGCGCTTCAAAAAAATTGGGAGTCCAATATCTGTGTGCACTTCACGCCATCCCCGCATAAATTAGTGCCAAAGCTAGTCTACCATAGTCAAAGCAGTTTGGACTCGCCCAGAAAAAGAATTAAAAAAAATAAAAAAATTTAAAAAAGGGTTGTAAATCCCACCCCTCTAAATTTTCAGCGATATTAGCGCTTACAGGCCAAACAAGGTCTCCTTCACTAAAAAACCATTTGTTATTTTATCCATAATGGATACTTAAAATTTAACTCGTACCTGCGGCCTTTGAGGGACTACAGCTGGTGGAAATATCTGGAGGGGGAATCCCAGGTGCAGTGGGATTCATCTCTTTTTATGCTTTTTCAGGGTCTTTTATTTTGTTACTCAGGACAAGTGCGACAGCTCTGTGGGGATTCGCAGGAATGTGAGACTGTAATTGTTCCCTAATGACTTTCCTCTTCTCGCTAATTGAAGATCACAATGTCTATTACGAACCGGATGGTTTACACATACCACCATCAGCAAAATGCATACTCAACTGTGGGCTAATGAATTGTGTTTTTTTTTCTTTTTTTTCCCCCCATAAAACATCTACAATAAACTCAGAAGCTGTGATTAACAAGACCTGCTCTTCCAGCTGGATGTTACTCTGCTGGTCCTCTGCCAGTCTGCAGCGCTGTTTTACCAACCCTCATTCCTTTGTGAGTTATATCTTTTATAAGCATGCATGGTAAACAAACATGATGAAAAGAAAAGGAGCTCAGTCATTTCAGGCAACAAAACAAACACAGTGATCTGTCCAGCAAATATTACCTCAAATTTCCTGTATTTTCATAGCTCTTCAGAACAAGAAAACTCAGACGGATGAGAGCTTTTTCTGTTTGTCTTCTTATTGAGGTGCTAGTGAAACAACTTACAAAAAAAAAAAAATGCCAAAGCATCTTGAAATTTGGAATTATTTCACAGTTTTTACACAGTCTACTTCCCGAGTTTGAGGTTAAATAGTTTCCAGCTGTGAAAAGTATAGGGAGCATTAGGAGGCTTAAGTTGAGATTTTACTTTATTTCTTAATGCCTAAGTTTCGGGCTGTGTCAAAGTCTCAGAATGTTTTTTTTTTTTTTTTGCCTGCTTGACCATTTTGTTCTGGCATTTAAGCAGAATGACCTTTAACTGTTTAAAATAGCATGTTTTCGATTATATAGCTAAATCTACATAGCTAACTGTCAATATTTCATTCTATTTCTATATCTTTTCCAACTTCTATATCCTATCCTTAACTTTCTGTATGTTTCACTTCTGACACCTCCTGTAGACTAAGTGATGCCTCATAACTTGAATGTTTATGACCTTGTTCTCTTCAGAGTGAATACCCTTTTTGGGCTGACGTCACTAATGATTTCACAGTATTAGCTGGAGGCCAAAATACACAAAACTGCAAGCAAACATAAATTGCCACAACAGAGCTGAGGGCAACATATAAATTTTGAAGATTTAACTTTGTAGTGTTGTTGGGTGCCAAAACAGATAATAATCATAATTATCTTACTGTATTCAAGCTGTCACTGCTTGCCAACAAAACACAAAGTTAAATTTGGTGAAACATGATCAGACTGGATAGAGAAAAAAGACAACTTTCTCAGAATGAGGTTCTTAGACCAAAATTTAAGGGGTACTGGCACATTGAGCACCTTTCCCTCCTTCTACATCCTCTTTCTGTATTTGTCATCAACTTTTAATCATCATGTTTCACTAGAATCACTAATATACAGTCTTTTCTGGGAGTCCCTGAGGTCCATCATGCTGTAGGTTCCTCTGGGTCACCGCTGCAAGGCCACTTTAACGACGTGCACCAATTTCACCTCTATCCACCTCTCTCTTTCTGCATTTCCCTCTATCCCCTCTCGAAAGCCAATGCAGTAGCAGCAGATGACTGTCTAACATGAGTCTGGTTCTGCTCAAGGTTTCTGCGTGTTAAAGGAAGTTCTTCCTCTCCACTGTAACTTGCTCAATACGGCAAAGGGTTAAAGGTGGGATGAGAGTGGGTCTGATCTTTAAAGATGGGATCCCACCTTATCCCATCTTTGAACTGGGTCTTTGTGAATAGAGTAGGGTGACTATATTCTGACTTCCCAAAAAGAGAACACTCTTTACACTACGCGGGGATGGGACATGGAGTCGCACAATGTTCATTTTGAGAGTTTTTCAGAACAGATCAAGTGCCTTTTACGCGCTTCTAATTCAGTAAGTCCACGTGACGAAGCTTAGCATACAAAACCGCAGAAATTTGAAGGATCTTATAAACTTCACCAGACAAAGCCGGACAAACCCGGACAGCTCAGACAGCCCCCTAAAAAGAGGACATGTCCAGGTAAAAGAGGGTGTTTGGTCACCCTAAAATAAAGTGTGATCTCGACCAGCACCACATCACCGATTACAAACATGCATAAGTCTGCTGTAATCATATTTCACAAAGTCAGGATATGCTATAATATCAGGAATATATAACAAATCAAACAAATAAATCTCAGCTGTGTTAGCAAAATGAAGAAAATGATGGCAGTTACAAGAAATTAAGGCTTAATGAGGGCAAACAGAGTGGCACTGAGATAATGAAAATTTGTATGAAAACATGATTAATAGTGATAAGCATTTGTAATTTTACATTCAATGAGAACAGCTTCACCCTTAACCTATTTTAGTCTCTGTTGAATCAATTTCAGGAAAACACATTCAAAAACTGACATTAATATTGTTCATTTGCACGATCTGGGCGCACACACACACACACACACACACACACACACACACACACACACACACACACACACACACACACACACACACACACACAAACGCGGTGTACTCTTTCTTATGATTAGTTTTAAGAAGTGTGTTATCAGGCTGGATGAAGACTATCTAGGGACCGTATATTTGATATACAGGCAAACTCAAACTATGTGCTATAAGACAATAAACACATTTAACACTCATCTGACCCCAAAAAATAAAGGGCAGCATATCTTGTTAAGCACGAAAGAGTTGCATTCAACCCACTAATGCATAAGGAGAAGCTGTGGGTGTGTGCACTTTTTCTGCTCCCAGTTGTAGTGTACAGCACTCAGAGTGAATAAATGTGTCTCAGAGGGTGTTTCTTTCCATCCCACTCTTTTAAAGATGCTTTACATAATTGTATTGGTAATTACTGTGTTCTGTAGGTTTAATCAGCAGCAATCCCAATTTGCTCTGATTTCTAAGGAGTGTGGGGACTTAGCCACACAGAGTTGGGACATGTGCTTCATTCTGCAGAGCTGTGTACTTACTGTTTTCAAGTAGCCTACAATCATCAAACTTATTCGAGCTTACAAAAATGGTCAGGGAAGCAGAATGGACTCAGTAGATTTTACAATATAGCTTTGGACACAACCTGTCTTTACCTCTCTGTCTTTCCAAGCCAAATATCAAAGTAGAGGAGTTTCAAGTCTGCAATCCATCCCCCGTCTGTTAGACACATTTAACAGAGATATTGATGCAAGTGCAGGGGCCAGGAAAAAGCCCATCAAGCAGAGTGCATTGCAAACAGGTACAATGAGGACCTGTCTACCTGTCTACAGAGCAATACTGAGCATGATTGGAGCACTGCGGCGCTGATATGGCTCACTTCCTGTTTGTGTGTATGCTGCCAACTTTGTCACAGCTACATGATCCGCAATAAATAACAGGAGCATTCCTGACAGAACTGTTAGAAATATTCACTCACCTCGATATTGGACTGATTACTGTGGCCCGTTCAGCTGCCTTGCATTCTGGTTTGTCAGATAGTCAATTATTATAAATAATGAAAGCAACCTCAATTTAGAGAGGCTCTTAATACCTTTGTTTTCTCTTGAAAAAGTTCCAATTATCCACCACAAAGACGCTGATAGTACGCCTTGTGCTTTACAAATAACATTTCAAACTCGTGTTCATGTGTGTGTCAATGATGCTAGGTTTATAATTGGCCATCATTTTCACGTATTCATCATCCTTTTCATCCTGCTGAGCCAACTCAAAATCCTAAAAGCCAAAGCAACAGCCCACAAAATACATTATTACCGAGATGCATTATTTTCAGCAGGAGTTTTAAACGTGTGAAGTGGCGGTGCAAAGAGAGTTAAGGTCATCTTATACAAATAAAGCAGAATGTGACGGGGAAAAAAATCCATTTAAACGTGCTGAAATGTTCAAGTATTTAAAACGAGGTAGAAAACATCTAGGTTAAGTGTTAACTTGACTCTGCCCTCTTCTGTGGATCCTCTCAACAGTTCACTCAAAGTTTACTGAAGGTTCATCCCACACATGAAACAGAATCAGCATCTGTAGGATATACAGTACATTAAACGCCTGCAGGTCAATATATTCTCCTGAAAAACTTTACAAATATACGCCTGCCTGGTCTGAAGCCCTGAGCGTCAAAGTATGACTGTCCTGGTATCGTGATGGTCTTTCCATGGTCAGATATGCCATATCACATGTGATTAGTGTCTTTACTTCTGCTGGCATTTTAGAAATCAAGCCTTACATGCATTTGACTATGAGGGAAATCTGCTGAGGTTTCAGATTACTAGAATTAAATGTAGAGGACTGAGTTTTAAACTGGAACATAAAGGAATCCAAAAGTACAAGTTTGGTCATGCTTTAAAAAAAATAGTAAAAATATTGAAATAGCTGTCGATTAATTTTCTGTCAGTGGACAAATGTGCATTAAATTCACTTCCGTATCTTACCAGCGAATGTAATTTAATCCCTTCTTTTCTGGACACTTGCTGCATGACTCTCCTGGGAAATAGGACACTAGTGTCTCCTGACAAGTTGGCATGTGGTGTCCACCGGTGTGTGTTGCTCTTGACACACATCATTAAAAAGGTCCCTTGATAAATAACACCTTTGTGAAGCAAACAATGTCAGTTTCCGTGGGTGTGGGTCAAGCGTTGATTGAATTCTGTGACTATTTTGAAGCCGTTTCCTGTATTAGATTGTATCATAATGAACTTCCAGAGGTTGCTTAGGTAATCAGGTCTTTAATGCCTCCTGCAAGCGTTTCCTTCTGGATTTTATGTGTTCTTGCACTATCCAATCACAGAGTAATCACAGGGACATGCTAACGACAGTTGTTATACTGCATAAAGAGGTCAGGGAGATAACCTCCATTGTCTTTAGTATGAAGGAGCGAAACATCTCCCCATGATTCCTCCTCCTGCTTTCATCTCCCCTGAAAAATGCGCTAAAAAAGGCCAAAAATTACAGACAGTGTGCTGGATTTTGGTTTATATCTTTTTTGTCTTTTTCAGCAAAAAAAACTTTTGTAATTGCATTTTCAGTTTCGGTTTTGAAGGTGTAAGTTTATCCAGTATTTTGTGTTGGGTTTTACAGTATACAAGGTCCCACCACTGTATGCTAGAATGATGGATTGCACCATGGGGTGGTATTATCAGAATTACAGTGAGTAGCCCAAGGGTCAAAGCATTGTTTGTTGGTTCATGGTCCATGTAGGCTTTTATATCTCCGACATCAGTCATCCAATTTATGAAACTTTGGGGAAAACGCTAGTCAGTGCCTCCCACTCCTGTGTCTGAACTGTTAGAATTGTTACTTTGAGCCGGTCTTAATGCATCAGTCTTGAACATACAAGGACGGGAAATTAGTCGTTCAAATACCACAAATGTTTTATTGTTGTAAAGTCAATTTGTTGTAATGAAATCCTTTTAAACCACGTTAAACCAAGGGACCAAGTACTGTAATTAAAAAACATGTTATTGTACTAAGGTTTGTGGTAGGATAACAGCCTCTCTATTTTGTGTGCGAGTGTGTGTGCAGATCAGCACAAATCCCCTTACAAATAAACTGTTTTTCCAACAAATCACACCTCTGTGCCCTTGTGGTGTTTTTCCATGAACAGGGAGCTTAACTCTGTGACTCCATGTCTGCGATGTTTTGGATCTTTGTGCCCCGAATTAAATTTGAATTGTTCCATAAAGGGTCAAACATCTTGAGAGAATAAACAAGACACAGCATGAAATTAGACTGTTGTTGGGAAAGGCAGAGGTGCACTTAGATACAAAATTCTTATTACAGAAGTGTTTGCCCACAGATCCACGTTGTGGCTGACTAGCCTGCTGCAATATTGAGCGGGCAAACATCCCTCCATCTCATCTCCCTGGTACAATACAGGTCTCAAAATTACAGTGTTTCCGCCCTGAGGGTTGGGTATTTGAGTTTGTACGTGGTGATGGCATGAAGTGATGACGTCTATGTGGATTCGGAAGTGTGTTTGTGCACTGCTTCGGATCAAAATAAGTATTATAAACAATCATAAAAAGCAGCTGAGTTGGTTTCAGCTCTAACCACAATCTCATCTTGGAAAATATTCATTCCAGACATAGCAAGATAAACTTTAGCCAACCCCTACTATTTAAAAACATGATGTTTTTTTAATATGAACAAACAAAGGTAAACCAACCCACCGGCTAAAAGATGAACAATTTCTTTTTTGTATTTTTAATGTTGTTGTCTCTGCTGAAACAACTTCAATTCCAACAGAGTAGAGAATTCAAACTAAGAGTCACAGCACAGATTCACTGTGAGTTTGCATTTGGCAGCTTATCTCTCTCTTTCTATCGCTAACTTCCCTACGTTTCCGCCTCCCGGTCATAGTAAACCATTTACTGATGGGTTTGGTTCTGCTCCTGTCCATTAAAAAAAATTTTTTTTTCCTCACAATTGTTGCCGAGTGTTTGCTTAATGGTAAAGAAAAGTTATTTTTCTCTAAACAACAGTAAAAATGACATTTTAGACCTGATCTTATTTGTGGTTGTTGCTAGACAATTGTTATATGGTTTGGTTCAGTTAGGGATGAAATCAAATCCAGATATGAATTTAGAAAGTCACAGATAATGACAGGTAGAACATTTTCTTTAAAAACCCACAAAATGTTCATTTGAAGTAAGCTTAGAATTTAAGATTTAACCATATGAGCTTATTTCTTCCACTTAGAATACTCAGTTGTAGTGAAGTTTTTAATCACTCAGAGAAAATCCGTCTCACACTGCGGAAGAACAAAGCAAAGGATAGGAGGAGGAGGAGGAGGAGGAGGAGGAGGAGCTATCAGAGGTGAGAGCCTGGTGTGGCAGCTAATTATAACTTCTGTTTAAAGCAGGTTTCATCCCTTTATGATGTAAAGCCATCAGTATGTTTTTTTTAAAATTTTGACTTATCATCTACCAACACCCTGGTATTATTTCAAGGTCCTAAAAATACTATAGTATAAATAATACTTAGTACTTACAGTTTGATTACATCCACCCTAGTCTTTTGTTGCAGGAGTAAAAAAGATTTAAAACCTTGTCACATCATAAGCCACACTCTCTGTCAGCTTTCTATCAGAATACAGACTCAGATCATCCTTTTGATTGAACAGGTACACATACTGCATAATGAGTTTCTGCACACCCATAATATCAATCAAAAATGACTGATTGATAGAAGGAAAAGATCTACATGAGATCATTTTTTAGTCACAGTGTACGTCATAGAATTTGCCACTTTATCCACAGAGGCCGTCAAAATAGTTCCTCTCAGTTTCTTTGACTGGTTTGACTCACTTACACGGGTTCATTATAATGCACATTGATTACACACACACACACACACACACAATCAAATTGGAAACCTGACAGTTGCTGTTTTTGTCATTGCTGCAGTAATGGAGTAGATTTTACAGACTGATTGAAGCTGGGAGAAGGGGCAGGAACACTATGACTGCCCCGGCTCTCTGTAGTTGTGTTTTGGAGAACTCTTCGGATGAGGCTCTCACAGCAGCAGAGGGAAGGCGTGAAGAGAGAGTTTGCGAGGTGCCTTGGAAAGTGCCCAAACAGCTTGTGTTTGCCAAATCTGTGTTTCCAATGCATAGGCCTTACCTGGGCAACCTGCCCAACCAAACGTGTTCCCACCCTGGGAGATTCTTTATAATTCAAATTCAAATTTACTTCACATAACACCGAGGGCTGAAAATAACCAACTGTGCTCTACCAAATACTATACTGAAGTGCTGTTTTGTGGGTAATTTCTGCTGATACAGGCGTGTACTCAACTACAACTTATTGGCAGCTTTAGCTTTTTACACCCACCCTCTTTGTTTCTTCATTAAATAAAGCTACACATTGTTTTGTGGACTCGGTCTGAATATAACAAATAAAACGACCAAATACTAGAGAAGGAGGGTCAAAAGAGGTCATCAGTATCTGAAGTAAATGAAACATTAAAGTGACCTGCGCATGAATGAGTCAATAACTGTAATCTTACGATACTCTCAATTGCTCGACTTTCTCTTCCTTGAAAATGTCTGAGCACTCCCTCCACTGCTGCATAACACTGACCTGACTGCGATGATGACAGCCTTTGCTAAGAGTTCACATTGTCCCAGTTCACCACTAGACTCCAATCACTTAGCTGAGTAATTGATTCATAATTCATGTAAGGCCATGATATATTAAAGTCTCATCTATTAAACCACTACTATATATCTGTGGACAACATCTATATATCAAAGTCACGTCCTACGGAGCTTCTCTCACATCATAACTGGGAAACATGCCACCATTACCTAAATTCTGCATGTCACACACGTCAGCAGTAACATCATGAATGCAGACGCCATAGAGCATGTAAGAGTTATCTTCTTAAACAGTAATTAACGCTTCTGGCAGGATTTTATAATGATACTGCCAGACTTTTCAAACATAAGAATTTATAGCATGTGTAGCTGCAGCAAAAAAAAAAACATGGTCGATACTCTCCTCTGGTGTGATGTTAAATGTTGACCTACTGCAGGTGCAACACTCTCCTCTAGGTCAGCTGAAGGATCTTAAGAAGAATCTTAAGCATCGGATGTAAACAATAAATACATTTTCAGCTTTTTCACGATAAAGGTGTATCATGCACACATGGACAAAATGTTGATTTCAAAGGTGGTTGAGGGGCACATGTGACCTGAATACTGTTGAGTACTGTTAAGACTAAGCAAACACCACATCTCACACACACAGTAACAGAGGAGGTATTACGGCCAGCAGGTGGATGGAAGTACAAACCCGATACAGGGATTTACATAAAAACTTCAATCAATGTGAAGTTATGGAGGGAAAATGAACACCACCCTCCTGTAGACTTACATCGGCGAATAGCGATGTTCATGGACTGACTCTTGTGAGCAACTTGCAAAATACTAGTCCAGCCGGCATGGAGTGACTGACAGCAGAGATAGTCAATCACACACAAAAAGCAGCCCTGCAGCAGAGCCAATCAAGGACCTTGTGGGCGGTCCAACCCGAGGGAAAGCAATTTTCGACTTGAGCAGCCGTTTGGTCCTAGTGCCTGACGTGTATTTGTTTGCTATAGCATAAAGTAACATTGTTTCCAGATGGTTTAAACTGCAGGGGACCAAAACAGGCTTTTGCAAAAGTGGGGGGGACATGCCGAGTTGTTTAACATTTAAATTTGTTATAATCACCTCACTTAACGTCTCATTTAATGTAGATGCTCTGGAGATCATATTGTCCTGAACCCTATGGTATCACATCATATAATGTATGGAAAGTATCGTTGTAAATTGTAGTGTATCGTGACGTAACATAGCGTACCGTAATGTAACGTAACATAGTAAAGCAAAAGCAGTGTTGCGTCACTTCACAAAACGTAACACAGTGCAACATATCCTTGTGTATTGTAATGTGTCATAACACAACATAATGTTACAAAATGTAACTTAGTGTATGTTAGTATAGAAAGATACTCATTTGTACCTTACACAAAAGTACTCTGTGGTAAGACACGCTGTAGTTTTAGAGAAGGAAGAATGTAGGAAAAGGTAAAAAAGTAAAAACTGTCATGTTTTAGTTATGCTGTATATTGCTGTATTGTGGCTTGTGTATCTTTTGTTTAAAAGTAGCCTTGAGCCTCTAATGTGATCACAGCCACAGGGAACTAATATTCAGTATAAATAAAACAATATGTGCAGTGTGATATTCCTGAATTATTATTATTCAAAAAGAAACCGGCCTACTTATTGACAATGAGCTCAGGGGGCTACACTATTCTCCACAGTTGTCCCCGGTGGTAAAGTGAGTCTCCCAGCTACAGTTGGCTCACACTGTCCTGCTCTACTTCTGGGATTTTTATGCCCAGCTCTTTGTGAGTGACCCAGCACTTGGTACTTTGGTAATTACAGTGAAGACAATGTAACTGATGGGGATGATGAAAGGTCTTATGATTAGAACTGGGTGCTTTACTGTTGTCTTCAGTGTCCTCTATTCACTTTGTGTATCGCCCCTAACATTACACAGCAGTACCTGCGTCAGAATGGACTTAGTGGCTCCTACTGATCTTGTTTCTTGTCCAGATCTTTGCTTATGTTGTTCATGCTCTCGAATGTAATCGCATTGGGTAAAAGCTAAATGACATTATAACATGGTAGAGTTGAATAGAGTTCAGCTATTTAGGTTTGCTGTCCTGTTTCAGATTTCTGGGGTGATACTTAGGCATATAAACACATCAACTCACCTGTGATGATCCCCACAGTTTTCTGTCCTCTCAATCATCAATGTTTCCACTTCGTAACATCAGGAAAGGATGTGATGTCACCCACGTAATGACTGCAGGACCAGGCTGCTGATAAATCATCCCCATAAACCTCTAATTTGCAGCTCTGCAGCGACTGGCCGTCATCTCTGTGTCCACTTGTTCGTCTGCGGTCAGTCATGCCTGCAGATTTGGAGCAAAGACAATTAACATTGTGTTTGTTGGATCACAGGACTCGCCATGAAAAACTCAGACTATACAAGTAGTTATTTTGTGGCTCTATTATGGGCAGAGGAAAATAAGCAATAGAGCACTGTGCACGTCTCTAGTGCCTGCCTGGCTACGTGAAGAGTGGGCAGGCCCAGTATTGGCGGCCCTCCAGTTGTCACTCAGACAACAAAAGTCCCTTGTACTTAAAACGCGCACATTACAATTTAAAACCTTAGTCTGTGGGAGGATGCTGCCAAAAAGACAGCAAATGTTCCCAGTACACTTTCCTCCTTTCTTTAAATGCATTTGTTCACAAATATTTTCACAAGTTTGCAAAACGATTTTCACACATTTATGAAATTGTTGTTCTCAACAGCAGATCACAACTTAAAGTTTACAGCCTGTGGACATTTTTTGTTTGTTCTGTGGGCCTACAGTCTCTTTGTTCTCCATGTGGCTCTCTGTCTTTTTGTATCCAGCATTTCATTCACAGGCAGTTAACACGCCCCACCCCTCCAGCTGCAGCCCCTCCCACCTCTGATCCTCTCCTCGTCTTAACAAGGGAGCAGGTGCAAGACTCATGTGCCACAAAACTGAAGTGGAACAATAAAATACAAGGCTGTCCTCGCCTTTGTCTATGGAAAAGTACAACACTGATAAAATAACTCTATCTTATGGCTGACTGGAGGGGTGTGCACTTATCTAGGAGAAGTTTATCTATACATTAACCTCTTTGGGAATATTCTTAGTCAGTGTAGCTCATGTGAAAAACCATGCGAGTGAATTTTTGAGACCTTTGAAAGGGAGCGTAACTCCAACCACTCAACCAAAAATAAACAGATTGTTTTTCATCTTTAAACGAAAAACCCGAAAACTGTTTTGGCTGTAAGCTCTGGTAAATCTAACAGGAACTGTGCTCATTCTCTTGTCACTGTTAGTAATAGAAAATACATTAAAAGTAACACCTTCAATGTTCACTGGTGAAGCAAAGTGGGACTCAGACATGACGAAGCATTGCTTCTGCCTTGGATTAAAGAGGCTCTTAACAAACCTAATGGCAAAGTAGATTCTTTCAGGGCATCTTCTTTACTTTCCTTTTTGCTCAGTAGTTTATTTGTCAAGTGTTGGCAATGAAATGAACAGTGTTACGTAAATGCTGCATAAAACTTTGTGAATGTATTTATTTTTTATTTTAAACGTGTCCAGACCAAATTGGAAAGAAAAATAAAGAGCTGTTTATTTTCTGTCTTTACTTTTGTTTTTCAAACACCTCCTGGGCAAAAATGGGAGAAAAATATCAGCTGGATTTTTTGAAGAAATACACTGCTTTACCTTGAGGTCCTTCAGCCTTTTCCTCAGGGACTATGTTTTTGTTGGAACAGCATGCATTATGTATTCCTGCCCTTACCATGTAATAAAATAGACTGTATAGCAGCTGTTTGACCTGAAAAATCCTTGATAAAAGCATCAGATAGCTCTTTATAATTGTTACAAAGCCTCACACATGCATTCAAAAGGCTTTACAAATGCCCTGATAATGCACTGTAAGAGGTGGGTTCATATAAAGGGGTGAGTTGACTGAAAGTTGGACACATAGCTGTTCGCCAGGAGGCTAAAGAATCACCTAAACTCCAACTCTTTGCTGAGTGCAAGGTCAACTGAAAGTTGGGTTGAGTCAGCATTTCCATTGTCCCAACATTTGACTTCATAATACCTCTTCAGGGACCAATGGGTGTAATCAATGAGACTCCTTCCATGCTTTAAATGGCTTAAACTCAATTTATTTTTATCATATAGAACTTATCATATAGCAGGGATATTATAGCAGCATCTATGATAAACGCAAACTGTAACTAACTAGAACCTTGATTGTTGATTGGCTGTTTGTGTAGCCAATCAGAGAGGACAAGAGGCAGGACATTGTTAGAACTCTTGCTATCAGCTGCGGAGTCCAGCGATCCGCAGCGGAACGGAAAGAAGCCAGTAGAAATTGACACATTAACTTGGTTGGAATGGTTATGATCAACTGCGATCGGCGGATGCAGCCTTTTCATAGCCATTTCGGATGTGGTGGAAATTGGGGGTTAGGTATTTAACTGTTTCTACTTTTTACAGCACAAATGCATGTCAGAAAGGTTTTCAGAAAATAGGCCTGCATCAGGATGAATGCAAACTTAATGCGAAAATGACATTCCTCAAGTATTTTGCATCTTGCAAAGTCACGAGCTTTGCAAATATTTACTTTTTCTAGTGTTTTCTGTTTGCTTTCATTTTCTCAGTTTACAGTGCAAAACAGTCTGTACTACACAGACTGAACAGCATTTGAATCAACACCATATGTTATAAGTTCCTGTCGCTCCCCGAGGAATAATCAGGATCCTTCAGCTCCCAAGAGCAAAGAAATTATCACTTTATCCCTGTATATAATATAAAGGTTTGTAAATAATGTGATGGCAGTTGTTGCCATATGATGTAGATCAGCTGTGATCTATTTAAAGCATAATACGTGTGGAAAAAAGCATAATGGCCCCCATGTTGAAATAAACATATTTTCTTTGTTCAAACTTGTGAGTACAATATTGTCAGAGTGGCTCTTCACTAAAAATAAATTCATTTGCATCAATTTAAAAAGATTTCCAGAGACGTCATTTGCATTTGTTTCTTTCTTGTTTTTATTACAGCATTTTGTAATTTAATTAATCCTCTGCTGGCCTTAGAAGACATATATTTAATTATTAGACTTGTTCTTGAAGTGTCTGCATGAACAGATTGCGTAGCACAGCTCTGCAAACCTTCCCCCGTGATGTTAATGTTATTGTGAATGCAATGGAAGAAAGCTTGGGTAAATTCTGTAATAATGGCAGGAGGGGGATGGATAAAAATGGAAATCGTGGCTCTCTTCTCGCCCAAGTGTGTTTGTGAAAGCGAGACATGACCTCTACATCTGTAGGCCCGTTAAGCTCTTAAAGCTGATATCACCTGTCGCTCTGCTGTTTGCTTGAGCGCTGTGTACACAAACACACCTGGCTCAAGATCCCGCTGAATTCTGATTATAGCCCTCTATCATTTCTCTGGGACTTATTTACCACATCTCCTGACATTGTGTGCTAACAGGCGGAGGAGAAGTAAAACCGTCTTCCTCCTTGTACGTTTTAATAGCCTGCAATCTCCTCTGTCTTCCCCGCATGCTGTTGTCACTTTGGTGTTGACCAATTTAGATAGCCTTCTTCTTCTCTTTTATTTCTTGCACTCATTCTCTTTTGTCTCTCTCAGAGCGGGCAGAAGGATGCCATCGATCTTCATGAGGTTTTGATACACATCGTTTCACCTCCTGCAGTACCTGCTTTATCAGGAGATTGGAGGAGGACGGATGACTGATCAGACTGATATAGCTTCTCTCGCTTTTCAGTGACAACCCCCCCTCTCTCCTTCTCTTTTCTCATTCGGCTTCATCCTTCTTTCCTCTCCTCCTTTTGCCTCCTGCAGGGTAATTGAAATTTCGAACAGCTTTAGCCTTGTGTTTGACTCATTTTTTGACACAAGCGTACCTTAATTTTTTGTGTATTTCGACTTAGCTTGGAAAATCCGCTCGCAGCAGACAACTTGAAATGTGTTTCATAAAGTTGTGGTATTACTTTTCTGAGGTTTACACTTCCCTCTCAACATTTTAATGCATGTTTAAGCTTTTCAGAAGATCCAACGGCTTCAGTGAAATTAAATTCTGCGCATCATATGAATGCTGAACAAACAGACCAACCAACCAAATAAGCAAATTTGTTCAACCTTCAAAGAGGGAAATAGATAAGCCCTTGAGCGGGGAATCAAAAGTCCCATCACTCCCCTATAATATTTCATCTGGAAACAGGTCAACTTGATAAAGGAATTTATATGAGGATGATTGATTTCCCCAAATGACTAATTTCCTTTGTGCAGCTGCTATCGGTGAGTTGATATTACGTTGGAGAGAATTGGGTACTTGAGGAGAATGAGATGCGGAGAAAAGGTCACATGGCGGGTTAACTTGTCAGGAATCCCAAGCAGGGTGTAACCTTGACTGAAAGATGGTGGAAAATAAGAAGATATGTTGACAAATAGGGGAGTATCTGATGAAAAAAGCCCACCTGATGGATGAGAAAAAAATGCACATTGTCATGTATGCCACTGATCTGATCTATATGGCTGAATAAGCGTGAATAACTTCTGATGGCGCACAGATGAAATGATTAATTTCTGTGACTGATAAACCTTCGCCGAGGCCAGGCAATGAGAGCTTAAATTGCTGTATGACTACTGTCTCTGCCTGTTCTCTCTGGAGGGGAGAGAAGCTGTTTACCGTCAGTCTGCACAATATCTGCCTCCATGCAAATAGCTCCCGTGTTTCATAATATAGGGCGGTAATAGGTTTTCAGGTAATTTTAAAACAATGTAGCAACAGTGACACCATAATAACAGCAGCCGAGTAGAGCCTAATACGCAGCGACAATAAGAAATGGAGGGGAAAGCACAAACACTTGTATGAGATATTTCAGAATGAGATATTGAAATCCAGAAACGCCCATTTAAGCTGGACTGAAAGATTATTATCTACTCAAGCCGAAAGTGTTCTGTATGAGGACAGATGACCAACAGATCTACACAGTTAAAGGGATATTCCGGCGTGAAATTAAGTTAGGGTCAAACACATCGTAACACAAAGTTAGACACCCTGTAGAGAGATGACTGTTGCCAACCGCTTCGACCGCACAATAGCAATCCACAGCGGTCTAAGGAGCCACGCGCTCAACCAAAACGCTACTCTATAGCCACAAATAATGCTCAGAACAGCACATAGCTTCATCAACAGTACATATAGGGTCTTAGCCACAGCACTAGCCACCAAACATCTTTTTAGCTTTGCCTAATTTCTTTAGCAAAGAGACTAAGCACAACTCACCTACTCCCTTCCAGCGGCTGCTTGTTTGTACGGAGACCTCGAACGAGTCCATCACCGGCTGCAGCGGGGTGATGCAGCTCAAAGAAGAAGATTTACAATCATTACTTCATCATTTTTTTGAAGTAATAATCATCATATTAATCATTTAGCACTGCAGACGTGGTAGTTCTTCTGCCTTGGCGTCTTGGTGTGATTGCATTCCCATCTCTCGACGGGGTGTCTAACTCGGTGTTACGTAGTGTTTGACCCTAACTAAATTTTATGCCGGAATATCCCTTTAAAGAGTAAATCTAACACTCCTTTTAAAATAACTAAAACTACATCTCTCAAATTATGCGGTCTTTAACGCCTCAGTAATGTCTTCTTGCCAGCCTACATGCAGGATGAACTGACAGTACTCTGAGCATGACATTACAAGGTTGAGTTGAAACGTTAGCCTGCTTTTATGTTATATTTCACATCAAACGGACCATCTTCTCCACAGTAACAGGAGACAGAGTGAACACCTCGCAGGAATATTAATGCTGACATGTTGCTCCTCAATGAGCTCTCCTTTGTGCTTTTCCAGTTAAATGATGCCTTTCAACTCATTACCGTCTCTCGATTGACCCATACCTATTAAAACTTTGTCTTTGCATCGTCCCTTTTTTTTTCATTTGTCAAAGTTTGTTTACTCTACCAGCTTTCCTAGCAACAAGTCCATGTTATTCAAGCCAACTCAAAGCATACCATGCTAACACTGGAGCATTCACAGTCCACTCATGCCAGTTTCAGTCCAATAGAGCCAGAGAAAATCCATCCTCAAAGCTTTATTTTTTTCCCACCTAATTTTGTTTTTTTTGTACCTAATTCCTTGTATAAAAGCCTTGCAGTTCAGTGGTTTCCACCTCTAGCTTTTAATTGCACCCGGTTTTAATTTTCAGCCCTTGTCTGGCATTTGCACCTTCACCTCATGACTGTGTGCATTCCTCTAAAAGCTCTGATTTCCTCACAAAATAAACAAGCTACTTACTGTACCTAAGCTCAGGTATAATCTTTTTTTTTTTTCTTCTTGGAAGGTGAAAAAATATTCATCTATGTTCACTCACATTTAAAGGGATATGTATTCAGACTCTATCAGTAAAATGATGGTAATAGCTTTCTCATAAATCACAAGAGTCACCGTTTTTGACACTAACCCCGTAAGTGTAGTTCCAAACACATCCAATCTCACCTCTGATAGGAAATGAAAATATCACCTTATCTCAGAATTAGCTTCACTCCCCCATCATCACCATTGCACCATCATCTTCCTCCTCCAATGCTGTGAAGAGCCTGAAGATGTTTTAATATTACATGCCATCCTTTTGGCTTTAATAATTAAAGACTCCAGCATTGATGTTGATTAGAAGCTTTCACTTGGCTTATGAGGCAAAACAGCTGAATGTAAAAAAAAAACATCTTTTTTTTTTATTACTTCAAATGTCATTTCATCGAAGACTCATTGGTGATGCACTGCAGTGCTGAGCAGTCTTTTGAGTTAACACAGTGTACAGAAGAAAGATGTCCATGTACACTTTCAAAGAGGGTGAAAATAACTGCGGCCCTATAACCAAGAATCTTAGGGCTGCAGACCAGCAGCTTGCAACCTTGTGCACTGCAGTAATGCTCCTTAAGGTTGCTATGGTAACTCTGTTAACAGTATGTTTCTTGTCCAATCAGGGCCTACATTACAGTTTACTTATTATATGAATTTCCAGGGCTAAAATAACCTCTAATGATTCTGTAGTTTTCAGTCTTTTGTTGAGATGAAGCACTGCAGCTCAAGTAAGGCTTGAAGGTATTAAGAAATAAGAGCAGGAATAAATGTACAAAGGAAATGTAAGAGATTTAACTTTCATTTTACCGAGGGAAATGATCAGAGGAGGTAGGGTGTTTTGGGGAAAAAAAACATATGATTAGGATAATTTCAGTAAAAATGGAGGTAAAAACTTGCTGAACAAGAAATTGGTTAGAGACAGACTTGGCTTGATTAAAAACAGAATACACCCGTATCAGAGGAGCAGGCTTCTCAGCCAAATCTGAACAAAACTAAGAGAAGCTATAGGAGCATATCATCCTATAGAAATAGCATTAAAAAAAACCCATGTATCTCCAGATGTCATAATTGTTCTTTCACTGCACAGACTACCTGCAGCAAATCAAGTGTTCAGTTTAGCTGAAGCAAACAAGTAAAAACCTGTGAAAGGAGCAGATCAGATGATATTTTTCTTTAACTGAATGTGGCAACAAAGTAATTAGTTTGCATATTTTTATACACATTTGAAATGTATAATATTATCAGCATAGTGTACATGTGTATCAGCCCATTTAAAGGTGGAACTCTTTGCCAGGTCGAGAGAGAAAGAGAGAGAGAGGTAGAGAGAGGTAGAGAGAGATCCTTGACAGAGAAATCTCAGATGGTTTTTAATCAACAGACCTGAGTTTTTCCTTTAGTCTTATTTTCCTATAGCTCTCTGCTTTTATAACATTCAGGCTGAATACAGACGCAGCTCTTTGGTGCTTTTAGCGTGTCGGGCGTTACATCCAATAGGCTTTCTGCCACTCTGTGGATGTTGTTGCAGTGACTTCACCTGTTGTGATATATCTCTTTTTTTCCCCCCTCTATTTTTTTGTATGATAATTTTGCTTTATAGGACTGCTCTGGATAAAGGGAATAAAAAATGATAGGCCATGATAGCACATGTTTAATTATGGGACCTTTGCATTGGTGTATACACAGTATCATGTCATCTATTGTTTCAGTTTTTTTATTGATTGATGTTTTTCAGAGAACCGCAGAAAACAACATAATGTTGCTTTATGTCAGTACACGCCATAGACACCCTGTTATATTCAAGTCAACATGTTCTGACCTGTTTAAAGTGCCATTGACAGCACATCCTCAGACAGGGTAAAATCAATACGTATGTAACCCAAACACAGGAGTCATACGGACAAGACAAACTGGAGCGGTTTCATAAAAGAGAAAACAGATCCTATTGCAAGACATGCAGAGAGATCATGTAGTTTATAGTTATTAATTAAAAAAAAATTAAAAAAACTGGAGAAATGTGAATTTAAAATTGTCAGTTTGTTCAGAAAGAGTGAAACCAGCTCGACTAAACCTTTTACTGAGCTGGAGTCGAGTTAAAGATGTGGAAAGGTGATAATAATTACCAACAATATTAGGGGAAAAAGGGATTTTCTTGGGTTAAATTACCCGGTATTAATTTCAGGCGGTAAATCTGTCTGCGAATGACTGGAAGCGAACCTGTGCTAAATTAGGAGGATGCTAAATGAAGGATAAGGTCAGAAATGGGAAACCAAAAGGGCTGGGAACAGATAAAGGTGCTCGGGGAAGGAAAGAGAGCGAGAAGAGGTGGAGAAGCCAAGCCTTTGCAGGTGGCCCCATCACCACCCAAACGTGCTGGTAATAGCTGCCATTCATTATCGAGCGTACGACTGCCTGGTGCAGGACCAACTACCCCATCCATCCCTGTCAGCTGGTGGCATGTCAATGACAAAACCTTAATTACACCATTAATTAATAGAACGATTTTTTCCAGCATGCTCTCTGTGCCTGGTGTTCGTTAAGCCTCCTCGTGAGCGATTGCTCATGCCACCATACCGTTTAGCTGACAGAAGTACAGCGAGTGAAAAAACAAGTCAATGAAATGGCATCCAGAGCAAGGAAGGGCCCTGAAAAGCACCCCGGAGCTCTATTGATTGACAAGATAAGGGAAGAAAGAGGTTCATCTTGTTGTATGCTTCATCAATTGAGGTAAGTCACATCCTCTCAGAAATCCCCTGTTGTTTGTTTGACACGTAATGAGAATGTTACTCAGCTGAAGGGGTGGCGACAAAAGCTTGAGCACCGAAGCGCCGAAGTAATGGCTGACATACACAGTCAAGGTGAAGCCACTGAGGGCAGGATTAACACCAAAACCCAAGATATTAAAGGACACATGTTTGAAGGGAATATCGAGAACCACTACAGTAACTCCTCGGGCTCTTTAACAGACTGTGCCCAGGAAGTAGCCATGTTCAAAATCATTTCTTTCAAGGGCTGCAAAGTGTTCAGCCTCTGCTTTCATCCTGACTGGAGAGAGACCTATTATAACCGTGTCCATCTACAGTATCTATTCAGCAACGCTGATGGCTGTGCTGCACAGAGGAACCTGCTGCAGAGCAAGATGTGGATGATTTGGAGGAATACAAGATGTACGAGAAATGGACTTTGTACAGATGTAATAAAAGGCTCCCTCACCTTTCAAAATTCAGATTTAAATTTGTGATTTTTTAAAATCCAGGAAGAAAACACTTCAGACAATATTCAATTAATCTTTCCAACGTTGGCAGCCATGACAAAAGTGGCTGAATAGATAATAACATAAAATTAATCACTGCAAACATTACACCATGTCACACAGGGTCACACCGACAATGGTGTCAACACAGTGTTTCTGCGCTGCTTTCAAGTAACTGTTGAAATTTTTAAAAACATGTCAGCGAGTAATCTTCTTTTTTTAAATGATGAAGACATCTAAACAAGAGAGCAAACAGGAGCACCATCAAATTAGCTCTGCCACAGAGAGCAGCAGACAGAGAAGAAGATAAACAATATAAAAAAAAGAAAAAAGTGAAAAGGTCCAAAAGCTTGAAATTGACAGTGGAATGCAGAGGGGCTGGGGTGCAGAGCTGTGACCGGTGTCAAGGCCTCATCACTTGAAAGAGGAATGGCAGAGCAAAATGCTGAATAAAGCATCAAGCTGCCTGACTGTGGCAGAGAGGAGGAGAAAATAGCCATCGCAGAGGAATAGTCAGGCTGAGTTAAAGACCAGTTAGTCCAGACACTGTCTCACAAGCAAGAAGGGATGGGTTAGTACATTTAAAAATGGACATGCATTTATGATTGTGGCAAACTTAAGTTTTCATCAGTGTTGTCTAAGAGATTAGCTCCCCAAAATAAACCATGACATTCAACTCCTCCATACTGTGCACGAGCAAAGGTGGCTGTTTGTCAAAAAATAAATAAATAAAAAACAAGCATATGTTGTCTGAGTCCGCCTCTTTTTTTTTGTCAAATGAGGAAAGTCTTTAACAAACATGTTCAACCTGTTTGAACACCAGGCAGCCCACTGGGAGAAGATAGCAGATTTCAGTTTTCAAAAAGGACCTACATGCACGGATCTATCACGGCTAAAAACCTCCAAAATAAATGCAGCTCATGCTCTGTAATCAAGCTGGAGTCTCTGTCTTTGTGATTGAGAACTGTGTGTGGAAAATGTTCTCTGGAACTGAGGCTTATAACAAAAAAATAAATAAAAACATATCAGGAAAAACTTGAAAGATATAAAACTGAGTATTGTACAAAAGTACAAAGCTGAGGTGCTAAACTGAGTATTTCCAATATGTGCTGACAGAGATGGAACTTCAAACTTAAACATATTGGAGGTAATCATAATGGTGATACTTTTGTTCTTGCATTTAAATGTTCATTTGAATGAAAAACTTGAACCCTTAATGATAATCTATGATCCTGTTTACCTTCAACCACAGACTAGGGATGCACCGATCCGATATTTGATATCAGTGTCAGTCCCGATACTGAAGAAATTCTAGATTGGGTATTGTGACAATGGGTCTGATGAATGGGGCTGATCTACTCAGTCTAACTCTATGCTGTGCGCCGTGAGTGGCATCCACATGTGAACACGCTGAGCGGATGCCCTTATTGTTTTCAAAATGGAGCGAGCAAAGGGGTCTGCTATCTTGAACTTTATCACAAAACCTCGGCCTACAAGCTCGATGGCTACTTGCAATACCTGCGCAGTCAATTTTCAAAGGGGCAGTGGAAAAACTTCAGGTTACAACAAAAGGTAATTCAGCACAGCATTTCTGTATCTGTATCGGAATCGGATCGGTATCAGCCGATAATAAACTGTAGATATGCGTCTTTACCACAGACATGGACTTGGTTTTGAGGAAGTCATCCATTTGTTTCTCAAGAGGCGTATTACACAATGATGCCGGTTGACCAGGAAAAGGGGTGGAGTCGAAGCTCTGTGCTCTCATCCTGCCATGCCCCATTTGTACAAATTATAGCATAACTCCTCATTAATCAAAATGGATGAGGCATTAAAAAAGTTTGTTTGAACACATAAAATTGAGACCAAACTTTTTTTTTCTATACTTGGTTCTAAATCTTTTAATTTCTGCTGTAAAGTTCACCAGCCTCAAGTGGACACCACAGACTCTGTAAAACATAAATTTAGTCTGATCACCAACTCTGACACTGAGTTTTGAAGCCCATTAACCGAGCTGAAATACTAACTCAACCTGGTTAAACAAACAGGGAACAGGATGAAGTTGAAGTCGCTCTTTATTTAAAGCTCTCTTTGCCAACAGCTTCAGCATGCCAGCCTGTCAATTCAGTCACTACTGCACTTCATTACACAAAACTTTTAACCATAATATTTTCACAATCAACATTTTTTGACAAATTAAACACACACATATGTATGTAGAGGCTTTTGCAGCCACTCTGTAGTGTTAGTGCTGTAGTATATAGTATAGGTTATATTGTGTGTATATGGGATTTTTTTATGATTAAAAAATGTAAGACTACTAATTTAACCATGTTAACCCAAAGCCAAGCAGAATGAGGCTCCTGCAAAGCCCCATCGGACAACACATTAAGACCCAGTGACCCTTATGCTACAAATGAATATTTATGAGTCTACCAGCATATGGTGGTAAAGGTACAGATAGGGAAAGAGATAAATATAGAAAAGGTTAAAGGAAAGCTAGAATTATCATCCACTTGCACGTGAGGAGTAGCCTCAAAATGACATTACCTTCCTCATATGCAGGCATTAGCACTGCATGATGCTTACGGCTGATAATGGAATATTGTGTCATGTTTATGTTAGGTGGAGAGATAAGTCTCATCATTATCACTAAGCTTTGCAGAGTCTGTGTTGGATGATATCCATTGGGAGCTATTTTCTTGTTAGATTTTCCTCCGTGCTACAGCTGATTTACTGCTTTATGGCAGCAACAAATACTCTCAGGTATTGAAATAGATTCGAGCTGAGAATGTCACCATGGCTGAAATGCTAACCGGGCCCTCCTCACTCAGAGAGCTGCCTCTTTATAATGTGTGTTTCGCATCATTATCACAATAAGCACACAGGATAATCGTACCTCATTAGTTATGTTTGATATTAATGAGGGTGATATAAATACATTCCCCCTGTGTTTCAAATGGCTAAGCAAGAAAACACATAGCCGCTTATCTTGCCTCTAATACAGTCTGGGTAAATGATGGGGCTTTGTGCTGCCAGAGCCTGGGAGAGCAAGTACGCAAACAGTGCTTATTGATCCTCTGAGTGGCTCCGAGGCGAGCGTCTGCATACATACATGACCGAATGATAACAGAAACTATTCAGCTATGAAATACCTCATGCACGTTTAAGTATTTTGTAGCCGTTGCTTAAATGTAGGAGAGGATTTTTTACTCCCCAAAACAAGATCTGTGCATGTATGTGTGTCAGAAATCAGGATAATTTAAATGCGTGTAAGGGGAACAAGAGAGCAAAGCAGAGGTAAAGAAGGTCACGGCATAACATCTCAGCGTTCAGTAATAGAATATGGCAGACTTTGTGTGATGCTGAAATCTGTCAGATCTCCCTGCCCGGCCTCACTCTCTGTGTGTCCTCCTGCTTGAAATTTCTGTTTGATTCCACGCTGGGGAGAAGAGGCAGTCATTAATACACCGCAATATCTTCCATGTCCTTTGGTGCTGAGGGAATCCTTTACCGCATCCCTCCTCCAAAGTTATGTAAATCAAACTGTGCATCAAAAGCCATTTGCCACATTAAGCGCAGCCTGCAAATATATGTGTACATGCAAGCAACCTTGACAAGCCCAAGACTCCCTGTTGTATTTCAAATTCCCTCACCTCATTTAAAAATCAACCATGCTTAAAAAATGAAGACATAATCAAGCAGCCCGCTTTGAAAATCAATGGATTCGACTTGTTTACTTATGAATAAGAGAAATGTGCTATTTGCGCCCATCAGAAATTCTCTGTTTGATATTCTCCATCTGAGACATACAGGAGAACAGAATCATATATTATTTAAACAGCAACACTTGAAATCTTATTACTGTACAGTATACGCCTAATACCAACTCTTTGATTGTGTCAAATACGAACTGGAAAAGAAAGGAGGTGCTTTTGGACTTTTTTCATCTCAAAGTCAGCTCATATAGAGGATCCATGAGTGGAAATCCAGTCTGACAATGACCTTCATAGAGTCAGATTCTGACTTTGTGCGTCAGAGCGCTGCTCAGGCTCTAGCTGACGTCCACCTCCTTATAAAATATATAACTGCACATAAGGGGCTGCAGAGATACTGGGATGACTCGGCGCGTGCATGCATTGGCTGCTCCGTGTTTGTAATGCTTGTTGAGACTGTTGCAATTTCACAAAAGTCTGTGTAATATTTCCTTGAAGTAGTAGTAGCCAAGTTTGTATTTCCTGATCTCACACTTCAAAACTCTCCTTTCCTCAGTTTTTGCAAGGACAGAGAAGTTTTGCATAAAGAATAAAGAGAGGCGAGTAATGGAAGTAAGGCCAAGTTGTAAAACAAGGTCCCAATTAAACTTCTCAGTGGTCTGGGTGGATATTTTTTTTTTCTTTTTTTTCAGATTAAAAAGGACTGAAACATTGTGATGTCTAAATTTCTGTCTGATTTAATACCATACATTTACTTTGGTTAAAGGGATATTCCAGCATAAAATTAATTAAGGGTCAAACACACCTCGAGAGATAAATTTTCCTGACCGCTTGCTTCTCTAGTTATACCAACTTTAGTATCGACTGCACGCTGGCAATGCACATCGGTCTCAGGAGCCACGCAGAAACCGCAACCAAAAAGCCAGGAGACCTCAGACGAGTCCATCACCGACTCCAGCGGGGAGACGCCGCTCAAGGAAGAACATTCATGGACATTACTAATGTCTCAGTCTGATTGCATTTCCATGAAGAAATGATCATAAATGTTCTTCCTTGAGCTGTGTCACCCCGCTGTAGTCAGTAATGGACTGGCCTGAGGTCTCGCTACAAAGAAGTGGCTGCAGGAAGAGAGTAGGTGAGTTGTGTTTGATCGCTTTGCTAAAGAAATTAGGCAAAGCTAAAAAGATGTTTTTGCTAGTGCTATGGCTCATGCAAGCCTGTGAGGCGAAACGCGTTGTTCTTTTAACCAATGAATAAGTTTACATTCTGACCACATTGTGTGCCGTGGAACTCTTTTCTTTTTAGGAACTTTTTTCTCGACATCACCAGCACCAACATCAAGATCTGTTGCGCAATCCTCTTTTTTGTACTGTTAATAAAGTTAGGTGCTGTTCTGAGCATTATTTGTGGCTATAGAGTGGCGTTTTGTTAAGGTTTCTGCTTGGCTCCTTGGACTGCTGTGTATTGCTATCATGTGGTCGTTACTAAAGTTGGTATAACTAGAGAAGCAAGCGGTCTGTGACATTTATCTGTGAAGGGGTTGTCTAACTCAGTGTTACGGTGTGTTTGACCCTAAATTAATTTCACCCTGAAAAGATTTTTTTAACATGTTGTTGGCATGTAGTGAGCTCTTGTTAATTTTCTAAATTCCAATTTCAGCAGGTACAATTTTTCCTAACAGCTTTTAGTGATCATTTGACACTGCTGTTTTTTAATATTCATCACAATATCAAAACATAAGAGGCTTGCTGGTTTGAACAGCCCATTGAAATCAGCCGGCTCTGTTTTTGCTGTGATCCTCTCACTCTGTATCTACTTTCATATGACTCACTTGTTTCCTCAGTCTGCAGCTGGCCCCCTCTGTGTGTGAATCTCTGCACCACTCACTACACTGATGCAGGTAAAAGAGTTGACCGGCTGATCAGCATTACTTCTGATGATTTACAATAAGAGCATTGGTTCAAGACTTACTTGCGCCGAACTGGTCGTTACAACAAGATGTGAAAGCTGCACAGTGTGAGTAAGAGGAGCATACAGGTATGAAAAGCTAGGCTGGTAAGAGTCGACGAGCTCATTGTAATTTAACAGGTCAAGGTCTGGAAAGGTCAGAACCTTAGCCCAGCGAGTAACATTTTTAATTAGGATTGACTGATATGTTTTTTTGGGGGGCTGATACAGATTAGGACACCAATGACTAATATTTAGAACCGATATTCATTAGCAGTAAAAATGTATATTTTGGTTTCAAAATTTTAGATAATACACCTGGGATTAGACTGTACACTGTTTGTTTTTTACACTATGAAAATCTGTGATAAAGGACCTTAAACTATTAAATAATAAGATGTACTCTCATTGTGGAGCTGCATCTAAAATCTTGAGTATTGATAGGCTGTTTGTGTAGCCAATCAGCAGGGACTGTAGGCAAGACATTGTTACACAGCAAAGAGTGGCGACTTTAGGCAGAGAAAGGCAACTGCGTAACAAGCGCATTTAAAATAGACTTATTTTATTGGCTATCGGTGGAAAAATGTCTGATGCCAATTATTGTGAAAGTGCTGAATATCGGCTGATATAATCGTCCTTGCCGATTATTGGTCAACCATAATATCAGTATGAATCATAAATAATCTCAATTATGATTCTTATTATTGAGCAGCACTACAGGAGTGCTCTTGTATGCAGTTAATGATAATAAAGAAACAAACATATGCAATAAATTACCAATAAACACCAGCTACTGTTGTTGGTGTATTGCACATTTTTTGCAGTCGGGCTTAGTTTGAGCAGTGGATTCCTAAACAATAATTTCTGTAATTAATTTTACTCCACTGACAGCAAAAACTAGTAGTGTCCTGCCAAAATGAGAACTAATTACAAATCACCAACTCTTTGTTTTGTTTGATTTTTGACAATATTGTTGGACTCTATATGTTGGTTCCTGATTCTTCAGAGTTGTAAATGATGAAGGCGTGTTTGCCCGCGCTTTGCATAGTTAAGTTGTAATCAGAGGGTATTCAAAAGGCATTTCAGGAAAAGGATATCTGCCAGAAGCCATTTTAATGCTCAAATGGATTCCTGCGGCGGAGCGGATTGAAGTGGAGGTGGTCTGACCACAAGAATTAATATATACAAAGAGGGATAAACAGGAGAATAGATTGCTGTCACAGTTGGTAATTTCATGGTTTGATTGATTGCCGGCATATTGTATTGCTCATACTGAGGTGATTAATCCGTCTTTGAACAGTTCAAAACCTCTGAGCCTCTGTCTTGTATGCCTTGCTGGCAACGCTGTCCAATACAATTGTATGTCACTTTCCTTTAGATTCCATTATTCTTCTCTTAATTCCTCTTTAAATACTGTCGCCGTGGCTGATGTGTGTGAGTCTACGAGCACACATCAGTGACGGAGGGAGAAAGTGAAGGGATGTCTGAGTGAGTGTTATTAACCTTGCATTGTTTGCTCAGGCTTACATATATGCATGAGCTGGCAGTCCTTGATTCCAAACCGATAAAAACCGTTTAAATTTTCAGACAGAAAATGAATCCTGTCAAAAATGTACACAATTGAAATTTGTTAAATTAATGAGATGAAAAGAATATGAAAGGGCGGCAGCAGGTAGACCAGATGACGGGGTCAATGGGAGACACCATAAAACTGATTATGATTGATGATGACAGATTGGAACATTTGTGCATGCAGAGGAGAATTAATTGGAAAATTAGCAACCATGGTTAAGTAATCTGTGGCCAACAAACAATTCGCACATTTATATTTTACAGGATCCTTCGTATTTGAGTGAAAAACTGGATTATACCCCAACAAAAGACCCCTGGTCTGAATATTACATGTAAATGGGATTTTTCCCAACATTTTCCATAAAAATGATAATACTATCAAATAAAAATGGAAAAAGCAGCTCAGTCAGAAAGGAAAGCGTGGACGGCAGACTCTGTAATTACATCCACTCGTATCCTGGGAGGCATGTTTTAAGATTCAGATCGAGTGTTCAACAGATGACTTCCATGGCCGTCGATTTTATTTGCTCATAGGACGCTGTGCAAAAATCTGCAGGTCAGAGCGCATTTTCATAAATAACTCAGCTCAAGATATTGTAACAGCTGGGCTTGATATTGCTAATTCCACTCTAGGATTGCAGTGTTCAAAGAAATAATTGGACGTTCAGGCAGCCATTTAGCTTAATCAGGTCCTGTGAAAATTCAGACTCGGGTGTGGCTGAGCCTTTCCAAAGCTGGTTATAATACAACAGAAGAAGAGGTTGAGTAATATCAGAGTAAAAGTGATGCATTGTTTTCAAATTTTTAACAAACATTAAAATTAGACGATTGTAGTTTTTGTTTTAAGAGGAATAAAACAATTCCTGGAATTGAAAGATCAAACATACAATTTGGACTAATTGATGAAGACCTGAAGTCAAGAGTCTAAAAATACACCTGAGTACATTTATTTCTCTCTTCAGCCATGCAATCGCAGGGTCATTAACACAGACACGGCTTCAAGACAATTTGTTATTCCCAAATTGCAACACATGGTTAAGCACCTTGATGGAACTTTGATGCCCGGAGCATGTCCTCCCTGTGTCTGGCAGGATGTCATGATCACGGCCGTGCACAGTAACAGGACACAGTATGCAAATATCACCTCCAAGGGGCTTTAACCCTCTCAAAAAGTGAAGCCCACCCTGAAATGATCGAACAAATTAGCAATTCCTTAAAGCTATACATCACGCTGTCATCATGCAAAAAGGCAAACACTTAAAAGAGCATTTTTCAATTACACAACAGCATGAGACCTTGATTGTAATGCATGCTACTTTTTTAGACGTTGAAGCATGTGCAGAGTCCTATAAAGGATTGGCAGCATACACTGCGCTATTATAGAAGTCTAAACTCTGGAGTCAAGCTTTAGCTGAAAGTTCAATTATCCAGCCAGACTTCTGACCATCCCCTCACTGTGTATGTGCAACCATCAACTGAAGAAAAAGAAAAAAAAAAGACAAAAGCTCAAGATGTAGGCAGAGTTGCTATAGGAGCCAAGTGCAATTTGTACTTCTCGCAAAACAAAACCAGCCAGGAAATATATTCAAAAACTGTAAAAGGTTCTTTATAATAAGATGAGATGAGCGAGGGAGAACTCAAATGGGGGCGGCAGTCCCCAGACTTTGTTTTTCTAAATAAAACGCAGAGTAAATTCTGAAGAATCAATTGAAAATAATAGTAGATATCGGTTAAGCTCCTGCTGTTTGAGAGTGTTTGTCACTTCCATTGTTTATCTTAAATTCACTGTAGGACTGTTATGAGATTGACAGGCAGTAACCACCTCATTAGTGTTAACGGTCACTCTATTTTTAACCCTAAACTCTGTGTGCTTTACAGAAAATGGAAACAGCTAAGGTTAAGAAATACAGTGGCACTTTTAAAAGTTGCCCCCTCCAAGTCATATGAGCTGCAACCTTGAGGAAATAAAGACTGTAATCTCTGTAAATGACTAACATCAAGCATGTTCATGTCAAAATTGTGTTATTCCATTTGACACAAAAGAAAACAACACACAGCTTTTTAGTTTATGTAGGAAAAAAAAGAGAAAACCTTCGGTTCAAAATCAGCTTTCTACATGTGGTCTCACCTCATGCCTATTACTAATGCAGCTGGGTTTCTGAATTAATTGACACCCCTTGCCTAAGGCCAACAACCTAAAGGGGAAAAAGAAATGATGTGAACCAACATAACCTTCAGATACAAGTAGATTCAATCCAATTTGTTCGACATGAATGAAGTTTTTGTTTAACAGTCTACAAATAGATCAGCCATGTCAGGATCGAGTTACTACAAACCTTTTAATTCAATAAGAATCAGACGAAGGCATCTTTAATCCGGGGGAAAGTCCCCTTGAAATGAACCACAGCACTAACCTAAATTAGACAGAATTTACTGAAAGCTTAATAAACTCTGCTCTGACTGACTCTTTAAATAACAAAAACAAACAAGATCTCCAAGGTCAATGATATCATCTACAGTTTCGCAGCAGTTTGAATGAAATGTATACTCTTGTGAAACTAACTTGCACAGCACTCTTTAATGGAAAACACTGTGGAGGAAGGATATTTTTAACTGTAACATGAGTCCCTTCTCTCGGAAATCTTATAGTTATACTCTTACACAGCGTAAACAAAGATCATGTACGTGAGTGTGTTTGGAGATGAAAGTATGGTGGACATCAAAAGCTCATCAAGCCACAGGAAGAGATAAGAGACCAAAGACTGTGCATGCTACTCACAAAATACAAGAAACAACTTCAAAAATTCAGTCCATTTCAACTTGAGAAGACATTCAGGTGATTTAACACACTTTAATCTCAATACACCTTTGTTATTGCAACAGCCTTTTTACTTACATGAACCAAAAATCTATTGATCCACATCAGCTGCCAGAGTTTTAACCAGAAAACAGAACATGTGATTATGTCACTACCGTTTTAGTGTCTGTATAATAAACAGTTGCTTCTACTGGCTACTTCCCCAAGCTGTAGACCTCTTAGTGCCTCATGAATTAACATACATTAAGATCCTCAGGAAGATCTACTGTGTGTGCAAAAAGCCAGAGGACAGAGTATTTAGAAGGGAGGGGTCCAACCCTCTACACGGGGAGATCAAATCAGCTAATCTCTTTTTAAAAACATACTTTTATTGTTGAGCCTTTCCTAATTTTACTTCAATTTCAGTTCTGATTGTTTTATTGAACTCTTAGAGCAACTCTTGCAGCAACAAGTTTGTACATATATATTTGTAATATGATGCCAGCAAATAGGGAAAAAAGGGCTATGACAAAAATGCCACATCGACTTTGTTAGCTTTCAATACTGAGAATAACAGACTTTTGGTGTCTGGATGGCATGTTTGTACCAGATGTCATACATACACATGAAACTCTCCGTTGTGGTATTTTGCCACAACATCTATCATATCCTGCAAAATATCTAAATTTCCAGCATTGCAAGTGCCAATGCAAAGTTTCCTGAGTTTCTAAGCACCTTTCGTCCTTTCAGCAAGATGATTAATTTGGGGGGAAAAAAGGAGGAATAATCTTCATAGTGTTTCTAGTAAAGGTGCTGGCACCTGTCAGTGCTCAGTGCCTATTAAAATAAATTGCCGTATATCACATCATGCCTATATGGTTGTCTCTTCCTGTATAGGGCCATGGATATGTCAGTATGTCTTTTACTTCATTAGCAAGATAGTCTGCATACGGACAATTTTTAATTAGGGCTAAGGATCTCCATGTAAAGCTGGTTACATGTAGCTCCGGCTCACACTGCTTTGTAATAACCTAGAAAAGCACGCATTTTTAAACAGAGGTCACGACCCTCGAATGTATTTTGTTCAAAATGCCTTGAAAAAAAAAATACACCTTTTTAATGTTGCAAAGCACTGCACTCAGCATCCACAGTGTCTTTCATGATTTGCAGTGAGGATATCTTTGTTGCTGCAATGTTTTTGGAAAATTTCTTCCAAACCGTCTTCCCTCCTAAACAATGGTTTCGCTTTGAAAGCATTTTTTTTCCCTGCCAAAAGATGCAGCAGAGTCAAAGTGAGCATGATGTGATGCTGCAAGACGTGACCACATGCATAGGAAGAAATCTGCCAGTCCTGCACTTTCTCCTTGTTACTTACCCCTGACCTGCTCTTAAAAAAATACAGTCAGCAGCATCGCACCGCCTCTAATGATGTGTAATCACAGTGGTTTCCTGCATAATGCCTTCAATGTTGGGAGAGACCATCAAGCACCACTGATGTCCTGGGACATTTTAGGCAGATGGCAATACTCTACTTCACTTAACAGGGAAAGAGGAGACTTATTCTCACACCTCAATGAATGCGCCATCGGATACATTGATATGGGGATCTGAAGGTCATGAATTTGCTTAATTTCTTGATGATTGTAAGCTCTACCGTATATTGAAAATCATGAATGGTTTTGATGGCTGTTGCTCCTTATGTGCTGTATGCATTCCATCACTTTCCTAAGAGCGAGGGGAAAAAACCATCAAAGTTATTCATGTCAATCTTTAAGCTCTTTAGAAAAAATAATGACGAGCAAGGCTGTTTGAAAACTCATATCCATGTTTGCTTACGCTCATTTCATTCCGCCTTGTACCCCATTCTATTTCAAAGCAACTGAAAGCAAAGCAGGGCCACAGTTGAATTCAAATGAAGATGCAATTAAATTGGAAAAAAAAAAAAGACCGTGAAGGAATGTGACTGGGGGGATGTTTATGTATCACAGAGTTCCCTGTGTCATTGCGAAAACTTTTGACTAGACTCCAGAGGAGACTGTTATATCAAACATGAACAAGATCTTGCTAAGTACACATGCTTCTTTTGAAAATGTTCAAATTAAAATGGTCTTAAATTGATGTCTAAAAAATGTTTTCCTTGCTAAGTAGTACCCCCTCAGTAGGAGAAAACTACATAAATAGAGGTTGTTGTTTTTCCTTTTTGTGTAGCTCAGGCAAGTTGTGACCCTGCAGTGGTGAATAACAATATTTGATGACTTGCGAGCTAATTACTCTGGTCAAACCCTTAATAGCACAACTGATCAGATTGCTATTTCTGTTGTCTTCACGTATGTAATTTGAGGGGGCAACATGAGGGACATTCAGTCCGTGAACATCGCTATTCGCCGATGTAAGTTTACAAAAGGGCGGCGTTCATTTTACCTCTGTGACGTCACATTCATCTGAGGTTTCATTTGCACCCCTGTATCGGGTCTGTACTTCCATCCACCCACTGGCTGTATTGCCTCCTCTGTTACTGTGGGTGCAAGATGTGCACACACAACCCCAACTTTTGCAATCAAAATTTCATCCATGGTTGTCTTTAATATTCTTGGTACTCATCAAGTGATCTTCAACGATATTTAATGTCTGGCTAATCAGGTCCAAGCCCTTTAGCTCTTGGCTTTTCCTGCATAGATCTACACTCAAAAGAAATTATTTTGGTCTGATTGAGTTTTCTACATTTTCTTCATTTCTCTCTGCTTGACATCAGCCTTATACTTTCCTCCCAGGTTCAAAAACCCACTCTAATTCATTAGAAATGAAGAGTGGTGAGGTGGTACTCCCGCCTCTTCTATCGATCAGCCGCCATTGATTACATCAAGTAGAGCAAGAACAACTGAGTCTCTGACAGCACAGTAAAGCTCTGAAATACTATCAAATATAATGTGCCCCCACACCAGCATTAGTGTTCGGGTCAGAGTCTTTAATATTTGCTAAACTATATGGTAAATCTAAACTGTGTTTGCAGTGGTTGTTGAATTAGCTTCCATGCAGGTTATCCATCCTGTTTCTCATAGTAAAGATGAGAATACAAGGATCCTCTGTGGGTAATACAGTTGATATTGGTGAAGCCCCTCTCACAGCCCCACTAAAAATGGAAGCTGTTCCCACAAACCACAGCTGGGTGAAGAAAAATGTGCATATGTTAAAATGCTAACAGGGCAAACTTAACTAGGTTGGATAGAAGTTTCTGAGCACTTCTATCGCTCAGATGTTGGATAGCTTAAATTGGAGTATAACTCCAAGAATCTCTATGACTAAATACAACCTCACAGAGCCACTGGCATGGTTGTAAACTAAGTTTAAATGAAACAGCAACTCTTGCAGATTTTCCTCATTTCCCATTACTTTTATATTTCCTTTTCAATACCTGAAATTGCAAATTAGCCAAAATCAGGGACTGATATTATACCAACTAGACATCGAAATGAGACTTGGAAATAACTGCTGTATAAACTGTGCACACAGGATCCTATTACTGCCTACTTGGCAAAACATCAGTCATCAATGTAGTTTCATAGGCATCTTGGAACCTGATCACTGCAGCAGAACAGCTCTAAAAATGTGTCTTCAGTTCAAGATTACATGTCAAAGCAACAACATACTTCCATATTAGAGAGTAGAATAAATCTGATGATGTGGGTGCAAAGATTGACCATAGTCTGTGACACTGGATCAGTAAAGATTTTTTAAAGCTGTGATCCAATAAACTAAGGTTTTGCTTTTTTTCGCTTGCATTTTGCGCTCAGCACCTTCACCTTTACAAAAGTGTTGCCTGGTGAGGTAGCACACTGATTAATCAATAATGTACTACACTTTTTCCAACTCAAAAGTCAAGTCATTTGGACTCAAAATGAAGGATGAAAATCTTTGCGAAAGTCTTCTGTCTGTATTCATTTTTCTAAAGCAATTATGTACATTGGCTGCAAGACTAGCTTAGTTTTCTTTAACAGTGTTTGTATCTGCTTTTGTTGTTAAATGAGCTTTAATTTTTGTTACTCACTGCTACAGAAAATACAGATACGAGGAAAAGGCAAGATATCTGTCTGGTTATTACAAATTTTTGATCTGACCTGAAGTGAGTCAAACTGGACCAAATCGAATTGAATCAAATTGTTCTTTAATTTAATGAATCAAGGGTCAAATCAAAACAAATCAGATTGCCTCGTTACGAGGATATTCACCACCTAAATGAGTTTAGATGAACAGTTTTACACTCATGCTTTTTCAGGTTAGCAGTCCATCAGTATGAATCATGCGCCCAGTGTGGCTGGCTAGCAGCTGTTTGGGGCCCCAAGTGCAATCCCAAGACACACCTTGGCCCCCAACAAGTGCTAGCTGCAATGAGGTGCATCATAGTGACTTTTAATTTCCCTCTTCACCACATCAGATTTGCAGCGGGCTAGGGAGGAGAGGAGAGCAGGAAATAGATCCCATGATTCTTTCCATCTATAATTTCTTATCTGGTGGAGCGCCTTCCCTCTGCCTCTCCTCCATCACCCCCGTAGGCCGTGCCTTTTTACTCCCTGGGTGTGCCACCAATCTAGAAATTGAATTTGAGGGAGGGAAATTAGAAATGAGGGCATTTTCACTTCAATTTATTTTTTCCAGTGAGTCGATTTTCATGTTTGGCCTAATAAGGACACAAAATGGAGCTCACTTTCGCACACTTGATACCCTTCACCTCGCGACCTTGTCACCTACACCCCATTGGCATCCTTTCAACCTCTACCAGCCTCCCCCTGTCTGCTCTCCCACCCCTTTAAAGAGCTCTACATCTTAAAAACAGTCAATTTCCAAGCCAAAGTGTGCCACCTGCTTTTGGCAGCTGGAAGCCCTGGCAAATGTAGATAAATGAACAGAGCCACCTGAGGGATTTTATGAATCTGCTGCAGCTTGGCAGATTTATTTGCTCCCCGCCACAGAGAGCTGCACTGGTAAGCACAGATTACGGTCTACAGCACAACTGCTCCCTGCCTGTTCTCCTGTCCTACGCTCCTTGTGTCTGCCCGTACCCGCTCTGAAGGGTTGTTGACCTGTAATTCATCAGTACTTTAAATTGTAAACTGGAGCCTTGTGTTTTTCCTGTCTTCTTTCTCCAGCTCATCATCGCAGCCCTGGAACAGATTGTGCGGTGCCCTTGGGAAGCTGTGAATATGTTTGTTTAGCGCCTGATCTAATCTTACATCATCATGCAGAAGGATATTTGAGCAAATCTTATAGAAGTGTAATTAGATTTTAATCAAATGCGCTGCTGTATAATTTGGTACAGTATGTAAAGCTATACAGTATGTTGCATCAGTCAAGTCGATTTCTAACACCTTAATTCTCAGTGTTTAGCTTGAATATTAATATAATTTAAAAAGACACTGGACATTTTTCCTAATCATTCTCAGTATTAATATATTCCACATATTGCTGTTATGGTTTTCTTCATTTGGAGTTACAGATTTCACCCGTGTATACATTTGTTTACATGTAAATGATATAGCCGTTTCCTACCACCAAGTTGTCGGAGTATTGGAAGCCAGTTCCTAAAAGGGAGGCTATTTTTATGCTACTGTATTATGACTCCTATGTAGGGCTGAAACGATTACTCGAGTAACTCGAGTAACTCGATTAATAAAATTCCTCGAGGCAAATTATATGCCTCGAGGAATCGTTTAAATCCGGAACCATGTGCAGCGCACGGTGTTTGACACGGACGGTTATTTCTGTTGCGCAGAAGCGTGCTCTTTCCGCTCCTTCCGCTGCCGCGCGTTTGGTTCAATCATGGAGGGAAACGAGGACAGACAGAAGCTGTGTCCGAAATGGCATACTGCCTGCTATCTACTTACCTACTCAAGCAGTAGCTACTGCCTACTGACTACTCAAAGATGATTTGAGTATGCCGCGGCTGCCCGAGCGTTTACACACATACATACTAAATACCCCAGAATGCATTTCGTGCCGGCCGGACGCAGCGCCGGGAAAATTTAAATAGTCCTACCACAAGCTACATAGAACGACTGCATACCGGACAAATTATATAAATTCATTCAATAATAATGTTTTTTCTAGCGAGAAAGTAAGTGTTTACATCACGATTATGAGCCCAGTTGTTTGAAATAGTGGCTGTTTGTAAATTTGTCTCGGCGTTTTCGGAGACCGAAGCGTCCACTTGGTCGGTGTTTGCGTCTATTTACCGTAAACACCGGGCAGCAGCAGCTCCCCCTTCACGTTTCCAAATTATTGCGAAGTGTTTTCATAATCAACATCTACACGACACAAACCGGGCGGCAGTGGATGAAAAAAATCACACAAACATCCGTGTATCCATGGTGATAATGCTATACACCACCTGCTAGGCGTGTGATGAGCAGCAGAGGGCTGCAAAATGACCAACACACAACAACATGTAAATAAAAATGTAACACTTTTATATATTGAATAAATGTACATTTGCTTGTCAAATTATGTTAGTATCCAAGAATTATATTATTTCAGCCTATTAATTAAACAAGTAAAATTAGATCCAAAGCCTGGAAATAGTTGTGACTGGTTTAGTGAAAACTGCAAAGATCATTACCATAGCAATTAAAAGACCATCTGCAGACCTTGGCTTCAGTAGTTTCATGTGAACTACATGGTAAAATGTAAAACTTTTGGTTCCTGATTTATGCAGTAAAAATATTCATTTGAAAGACCTGGCCTATTTCAGTTTTGTGTGTTACTGATGGTTTTTAATGAGGCAAACGTGATTCAATGCAAAGTATTACAGTGAGAGCAAAACATTTCTTATCCGATTACTCGATTAATCGACAGATTAATCGATAGAGTACTCGATTACTAAAATAATCGATAGCTGCAGCCCTACTCCTATGTAAACCTACATCCATGTGACTTTGATAACATTTATTTACAGCGACGCTAATTTGTTACTCAGTTACATTTAATTGGATGTTCATAGAAGCATGACTCCTGCCAAGAAAGCCTTTAACAGACTGAAGAGCTACGTTCCTGTGCGAAAAACGGCATTGTGAGTTCATAGATCTGAACTAAGTGAGTGTTATAACAGACAGCATTCTATACTATTGGGAAAAAAAGGCTGTACTAATGCAGCAACAATGAAAGCAATGCGACCTGTTGACACCATCAAATGGCACCATGGGTTTTTCTCTGTCAGCCTTTTGATTTTTTTCAACCAAACATGTTATTATTTTCCTCTTATTTATCTCATTGATACGATGCACAGAGATGGCGTGAAATCGCATAACCTTTTAGAGAGAGAAGCGTGTCATTGTTTAGTTCAATGCACATTAACTCACACCTTCCTGTATTTTCTCTGTCATGGTAATCTGGAAACACTCTCGATGACTTTAAAAATGTTAATGCAATAATCATATCCCCCACTAATGCCCTGTATTAGTCATGTCATTTTGTTAAATATACTCATTGAAGGCCATTTATTTTGCATCTAAAAGCACTCCAAGTACCCTCATTTGGCAAAATTACAGTAAAGCCATTTCCCTTTTCAGACCCTTTGTGAAATCCGGTCAAATTTCAGACCGTATGAAATGCTGCTCGTGACACCTGATGGTGCTCTGTTGTGGGTATGTCTACTCAACTGAGAATTTACAAGTTTGGATATAAACAAGTTTAAATCATAAAAGAACCTTTAAATATAATATCAGACCTTAAGGGAACATGCTACAGATGGGCAATTAATCCAGTTTTAATCTGGATTACATTTAGGGGTTCCCCTGATCATAAAGACTGAACAATTATTGTGCCGCCAACTGAGGTGCATTAATTTCGTCTTGCACCTACTCTCTCTTCCTTCACAGCAGAGTGTGTTCTGCGCCATCTCTCTCAAACAGCGGTCAGGAAGTTAGATAGAGGGTCACACTAAAGGGTCACACAGCTCTCCAGGTGTTTGAATGTGGACTGTAGTACACTTTTAAACACCAGGTAATACAATGACATACTGCTCCTTTAAACTTAAAAAACTAAACATTAATCTGGAGAAACAATGATTTGTGTGCATTATCAACGTACTCTTTATGTCATGCTAGACTTTGCTTATCACACTATATCAGGTGTGAAATGATAAAGCCAAACCTAATTGTGTCTGGTGCTGCAGAATCAATGATTAAGCAACCAGATATTTTGAAACCGGACCAACAGAGACAAACTAAACAGCTATGAAAAGAATTTCACATTTCTATCGAGCCTTAGAGTACCTTCAATTTTTCATTCATAGCGATAAAGTCACATTTCAAATAAATTTTATAGCTTTAACCAAACAGACTCAATACAAAAGGCCAAGACAGATAAAAAAAAACAAGATACAAACAAACCTGTCCCTGATTTCAAATAGTGTATTTGTGCGTGTTTGTATGTGTGTGTGTCTGCAGCTGTGAACGCAGATGCGTCAGTGAGAGGGTTTACAACACCATGGGGGTGTGCAGGCAAAACAATTAAATGATGAGACTGCCTGGAACAGAGAGGGGGGGAAATGAGGGAAAAGGAAAACAAGATTTTTTCTGGGGCAAAAACATTTTTTTTCCCCATACAAAATTATGCAGTTGTGTTAAAACAAACAATGCAAAACATGATGTTTTGCATTTACGATGTAGGAGATCACGTTGAGTTTGAGGGGAAATAACAGTACACTGGATCACTTGATTTCACATAAACGAGCAAGAACCAAAAAATCCTGTAAATGTGAAAATGGAGCAAATTATTTTTATTGTCAATTCATATTAGATTTTAAGTTAATAATGTATTTTTACAATAATTATGATCAGTCACTAGTCTGTGTTCCTCTAAATTTGAACTTTAATTAGGGCTCTAAAAATGTAATTTTATATGCAGTTAATCCCAGCATTTTAAAAATTAACTACGACTCCTCGGATCTTCAACCACAAGTTTTTAATTTCATTTTAAAAGATGTTGTATCCAAATCTTAACAGCGTACAGCAATTTTTATCAGTGTCTTAAGTTTTTGATCAAATCATTCTAATGAAATGTAGTTTATCATTTTGACTTTTACATGTTAAACAAATAAATTATGTAAAACACTAATGTGGTCTAAAACCAGGACCCTGATGTAGGACACAGTTTCACAATGCTTAATACACATTAAGGAGTGCGTTACAAAGTGTCCAGTGACTTTTAGTGTGGTGCGCAGCTATTCCATGACAATTCTGATTAAACACTGACAAACAGTGATCCCCAGTTAATGCAACACTTGTCAGGAGTTCCAGTTGCTTTCTCTGCATATAGATTGTGTCACTGTAAAGTGTGAAACTACTGTTTTCTGCCTGATGACACCCTCCTTAGAGTCCACTGACTTGCAGTTACAACCCGATGAGTGCTGCAGTTAACCTTGGTTTGACACAGACTGCATATTACTGTTGACGTATCAACCAAACTGTCTTGTTTGATGTGATGTTGTGTGATGTTATTTTCCATTTGATGAAATGTGCCTGTCAAAGTTGCTGTGGTTTCATTATTTTGCGTAGTTTTTATTTTTCATCGTGGCGGCAGCAGGAAGAAGGCTAAATTACGATGTGTTGAAACGAAATAAAAACACATGCAGATTTAAAAAGTTAACCCACTTATTCTGGACCTTAGGCGGCTCATGCGTTCACACTGACAGCCCTGACTGTCATATTTTGTGAAATGTTTTTTGAAAAATAAGCTCTACATTAAAGTGGATCTGTGGTAGTAGATAAGACTGAAAAAATAGAGCAGCATTTTTCTGGATTTTTTTAGTTAATTATAATAAATAATAATAGCCGAATAAAGATTCTGTGTGGAAGTACTTGTTAGCTTTTACACAGTCAGAAGTTGGATCTCTAAAGCCAAATTTTATTTTATTCTTCCTGATGAAAGTTATGTTTACATTTTAACGATCAAAACCTCTGTTGAAGCTTTTCTAAAGGATACTCAGGCTTCTTTGAATGATGCTGATTGAATAATCATTAGAACAGATACTTCAGCAATCATGCACAGCTCTCCATACACTTGGTGCTTTTTAACTGCCTGATCAAAGACTATTTAATTCATTACTTTTGATTCAAAACCTTCAACGTTGTTTATTTAAGAATGAGAATGGAGTCTGAATCA